ATACACAACACCATTTAAAAAAAAAAATCAAACTCCTTCCTCTCTCATCTCTGCTTCCAACTCTACACAGCAGTGGGAAAGCTTTACCAAGGATAAATATCTAAATCAAATAGATAATTTCCCTTGTGAAATCAGTCAGACAATAGCATTCATAGAGAATTCCTGTAAAGCACAAACCAGCTTTTCTTACTATTTAAATTTTGATGAGAATTGAAAGCTTCTAAAAATGCCTCTTGTCTCTGGCAGGGTTGGGTTTCAAAGTGTGACTGTCTCTGGGTAAATCTTCTTTGCAATCAAGAGTTGCAGTTGCAGCATGTGGATATACTTGAGCTAGCTTTGATGTCCGCATGCAGTCTGCAAAGATGGTCCGTGGATATCCGCAGATTTGCAGGGCTCTCGATATAAAATTTGGATCCGCAGCCATCCAGGATCCACAAACGTAGTCCGGATGGCTGCGGCTTTTCAGGGCTTTATTGATCTAGCTGCTGTCTTGAGTAGTGAAGTCAGGACCGCATGGATGGTAGCTGCTTGAGTATGTATCTAGGGCAGGGGTGGGCAAACCTTCTGGCCCAAGGGCCACATCAGGGTTGTGCAATGGTATGGAGGGCTGGGTAGGGAAGGCTGTGCCTCCCCAAACAGCCTGGTCCCCTCCCACTCCTCTTCTCCCCTGACTGCCCCCCTCAGTGCCCCCAACCCATCCAACTTCCCCTACTCCTTGTCCCCTGACTGTCCCCTCCCGGGACCCCTGTTCCCTATCAACCCCCCCCCCTGTCCCCTGACCCCTATCCAACTGCCCTCTGCTCCTCGTCCCCTGACTGCCCCCTCCCGGGATCCCCGCCCCTGACTGCCCCCCGACTCCTATCCACACCCCCGCTCCCTGACAGGCCCCCCAGGACTCCCACTCCCAACCCTCCTTGTTCCCCATCCCCTGACCACAGTGCAGGACTGTCCCGTGGCCCATAGTTGGCCCACCTCTGATCTAGGGTCCCAGTCAGACAAGACTAGCCTGGGACCCTGGGTATGCTGCAGTCTCACATTGTGATTGCAGTGTGGACATACCCTCAGTGTTGGACACACTCTTCTTGTCCCCAGTAGAAATCCTAAACAAAGGGTCGCTACACCAGCCCTTAGAGTTGCATATGCATTTGTTCTGCCGGGCTACTGGGAAGTGTTGACTTTTGAGGGAATGTTCTTTATGTAAGTTATACCATTCTAAGGTGAAGCAAAGGATCCTCGCTGTTATGAGAGGCAGGTGTCGGTATCCTTCCTAGAGCTCTGGTGCTCTGTTTTCCCCTTGTCATGAATGATGGCTGTTGAATAATGCACCGCCTGGAAGCTAGTCTAGTGTCATGCTCCAGTGACATACTTCTACCTCTCTCTAACACTGGCAGTTCCTCATTCGTTCAGCCTAATGGGACATAGGAGAGCACAGGAGAGGGAGTTACTGTTTCTACATTTGAAATACATTTCAATATATACCTTAGTAAGAACCAAAGTATTTCATCGTTGTCTTAACCAGATACTTTATTTTGGGGGGAAAAATAAGAGTATTGAAAAACCTCCAAACTTTGGCTCACATTAAATATTAATGCCTTAATGTTTTCTTGAACATTAACTTTATAGCCTGATTGCAGGAAGGAAATGGAAAAACACTGTTTCTTGGCAGCAATTTGGTTTGTGTGCATGGTACCTAATGTTGCCATGTCTCAAGGTGCTTGCTGTCTCAGTTCCTCCTATCACTACTGTAAAGAGCTTGGTGTTGTTTTATTCATTTATTAGCATATCTCCAAAATGCAAGCAGAATTTGGAATGTAGTTCATAATTAAGTGTTCCTAAAATCCGCACAAATTAAAACTTTTTTCCTCTCATACTAGAAATAAAAAAGCCTGATGTTTTGGGCCTTAAAGTGTATCCCGAGGTTAAACAAATCTAGGCTCTGCTAGACAGTGAAGTAGGGGAATAATGGATTCCTTAATTTAAGATCATTCAGTCAAGATCCCTTGCTTCCAGCCCCTCTTGTTTTAAAAATGATAACGGTTAGTTTGAACACTTTATTTGATTCTGCTGTAGTCTGACAGGCCTTAGTTACATTAGGGAATCCCTCTCTGTCTGTTTAGCCCATGTCAGGTGTGCTGGAATTCAAATTCCAGTCCTACCTTTCTGTAAGGTCTGATCTTGGAAAGTGTACATTGTAACAAGGCTGACCTATGAAGGAGGCCTTATAGCATGCAGAGTATTGTAGTGCAAAGCAGATCCAAACCTTAAAGGAATTATTTAAAATAAATCTGGAACAAAAAATCCTAATGATAAAGAGGTGTCCTGTTACTGGGTGGAGATTGTAAAATTGTCAATGATGCTGAAAAGCAGAGATGTTTTTGTATTTGGAATGAAGCTGGATGTTGTATTTACTTTCAATTTCTATTCCAACAGTAGTAAGATGCTGTTTAATATTCTCCTTTCTTTAAAATATATTTTTTTTAAGTCTGGTCTGGATAACTTTCACACTGGAGTTCTAAGGATTGACTGAGGAGTTTTGCATCATTGATGTTAGATTTTAATAAACTTCGGCAAGTTCCAGAGGGAGACAGGAGTCACTGCTGTGCCAGTAGTTAAAGTAAACCAGGTTACTAGCTAACTGTAGGTCTGGAAGCCTGGCTTCGATCCTGAGCAAAATAATACAGTGGCTGTTACGAGACTATCACTGAAGAATAAAAGGACACAAATATAAATGTGACAATGTAATTTTATGAAAAACAGGTCTTGTCAAATGAACTGTGTCCAGTTTTGGTGTCAGTACAAGAAGGATGTTGAAAAAATGGAGAGTTTAGAAAAGAGCTACAAAATGAATCTAGGTCTAAGAAACACTCATTACAATAAAAGACTGAAGCTTAATTGTTTTAGCTTGTTGAAGAGGTTAAGAGGCAACATCATGGTCTAGAAGTACTTACACTGGGAGAAGACTCTTTAATCCTAGCTGTTTAACCTCAAAGACATAAGATCCAGTGGTTCAAAGTTGAAGCTAGAAATATTCAAACTGGAAATAAAGTACAAATTAACATTCAGGGTAATGAATCATTGGTACATTATATAAAGGGGATATGGCAGATTCTCTATATCTTGAAGGGACTAAATCAACATTGGAAGCTTCCTTAAGAGATGCAGTAGTTAACTACAAGTTATTGGGCTTGATGCAGGAATTACTAAGGTGTGAAGTTCTGTGGCTATCATACATGAGGTCAGACTAGATCAGGGGTTCTCAAACTGAGGGTCAGGACCCCGCAAGGGGTTCTGAGGTTATTACATGGAGGTTCACGAGCTGTTAGCCTCCACCCCAAACTGCGCTTTGCCTCCAGCATTTATAATGGTGGTTAAATATATTAAAAAGTATTTTTAATTTATTAGAGGGGGTTGCACTCAGAGGCTTGCTATGTGAAAGGGGTCACCAGTACAAATGTTTGAGAACCACTGGACTAGATAATCATATTGGAACCATCTGGCCTCTAAATCTTTGACTTGGCCACTAGAACTCTTGGCAGCTTTCTAGAGCAGAGACTTGAAGGGCACAAAAGGCTTCACTTCTCTTCTTTTTCTCCTATTCAATATTGCTATAACTATTTCCTCCTGCTGCGTCCTCAAGATTTACTTTGGCAGCGGAAGTGTTGAGTCCCTGGTGGTATGGATCGCTTCTAATAAACAAAGCAGAATTTGTGACCTGTTTCTTTATTTCCTGAAATTGGAATGACTAAAGTGTGTCTTCACTTGCTTTGTCCTCTGCATTTTAATGTGCTGGAGAATGGGGGCCATGGAATTGTTGTAGCTAATGACTTTCTCTCTTGTGATTGATAAAACTCCTCCATCTATATTCCTGCCTTATAAAACAGGATTCTGGAGTTTCTTTTTTTCCATTTCCAGATCAAAATCCTGGCCTCTTTCTGCACAGTGGTTTCTTGTAACTAGTATTTGAACCTTTCCATTCAAAAGTGGTTTTTGGTTTAGTTGCTTTATACTCCACACCTGAACATAGCCATTATATGAACAACATACCCTCCTATCTCAATGTCTGTACTTTGACCTGTTAACCTTTTACCCCCAATCAGGGATATTGCAGATTATGTATTCCTTACGCCATCCAATCTTAAACCGAACTTCACACCCCTTGATAATCTGTACATTATTCCCTGATAACCAAAAACTTTTACGCTTAAACTATGTACCGTTCACTTTTTTAAACATCTTAATAAAATTTTTATACCACCATCTTCTACATACCTACATAAAAATAATATGCCTCTGTCCAACTTTTGATTTCCTGGTTTTACTACTGGAACATCTAGCAGGACCAGCAGAGATGAACAAATCAACACTTCATAGCACAGTGCAATAGGCATAATTTTCAGCTAAGCAGATTTGAGTGAAATGATAAAATTTACCTGAATTTGATTTGAAGTCATGTTTTATTTGGCTTGCAAATCTTGCATTGAAATTGACTGCAGCCTCACCCTGGCTTATCCTGGGCTACCAGAATTACAATTTTTTTTGTTTCAGAGTAACAGCCGTGTTAGTCTGTATTTGCAAAAAGAAAAGGAGTACTTGTGGCACCTTAGAGACTAACCAACTAATTTTTTTTGTGCCACCTTCCCGTGATTATTAAAGTGTTTAGTCCTAAAACAGATAAGAGATTGAAACTTTGTGTAGGAAGTAATCCTGCACTGGTAGGGGAATAGGCCACATCATTTTGTGGACTTTATAGCTGATGATTTTAATGAAATACACAACTTCACAGAATGTCACTGAATTTTCCAGACTGGTTTGTGCTTGGTATGACCATGGATAACACTTTCAAAAGCATCTGAGTCACTTTTCTGAAAATTTTACACCTTGTCTTGAATTTGAAATTTCAACTCAACGGTTGGCCCATGTTTGGTTTTGGTGTAAAACAGTGAAAAGCATAATCTTGTGTCAGGTTTTTATATGAAATGTTTTTGGTTTTTCGCTTCCAGAGTTCTGAGGAATGCGACTGTAATGATGAACCAGCTCAGGAAGATGAAGGGTTTATGGGTATGTCCCCTCTCTTACAAGCCCACCATGCCATGGAGAAAATGGAAGAGTTTGTGTGTAAGGTAAGAGATTAAAGAAAACAAATCTATCCAGATGGTCACTTGAGCCTACTAGCTAAATGAAGCTAACAGGCCATGTTCCTGAAGTAAATTGTGTTGGCAATAAGCTGGGGAACAGCAGGTGCACAATGGAGTTGGTCGTTGACCGATTCTCTGTATATCGGCTAATGCTGATGCTGTGTGGGGTCCCAGGTATGCTATAACTGCACACACTAGAAAGCATGGAACAATAGGGATTACATTCTGAAATTATTTTAAAGCTGATATTGCAGCTAATGAGTCTCCTTTGGGAAACATCTGTGTGTTTGCAGGCGGAATAAAAGCACTCTGCTTCCAGTGTTTCTGGTTCAAGATGCTTTCATTTATCAGGACAGTTCTTTCCAGACTTCTGCAGACATGCAATTTTTTTTTGCTTCCATTGTAAAACAGACTGTCTGCTACCCAAATAGAAGAACAGGTTCTCCTAAAAGTCTATCCAAGCAAATCCATTGTGGACTATGTAGAGATTGCTGGCCTTGAATCTCAGTTCTGCTAAAGTTGTGGGGAATATATTGTATTGGTCTCTGGCTGATGCCCTAATTCTGGGTTTGGGTGGAGTGCTGTCTGTGGCACACTTATTACAGTGGATGTTACTAATGGCTTTTTGCCATTGGTAGAGGGGATCCTGGGAAATCAAGGTTCCATTTTCATACAGTGCTTTGAGCGTGTTTTGTTTTTAAACAGTTTTCTTCCTCTGCTTTCTCAAAAATGGGACACCCCCCCGCCCACATTCTTGCTGCATGTGAAGCAAAACACAGCTAATTCTTCTGTAAAACAGAATCTTTAAGTGTCTTACCTGAGCTAGTTCCTTTGACTAATTTTTGAGCTGTCTGGTGGTGGTGGGGTCTAGAGAGGACTGGCGGTAGGAAGTGTCCCTTCAAAGGAAAACCAATCAGCAGCATTCCTGACATTGTTTTAGGCCCTCACTGTTAAAACAGAAATGAGAACCCAGCAGTTGAAATTAACAGTTGCAGGATTCCCTAACCTTTAATGCACGCATCTCTGCTCCTCTTATTGCTAAGTGAGCAAATCCCAAAGACGATTGCATCTGTGCCATGCCTGTATGTAGCTTTGCAATGCCAGCTGAGGAGCCATACTGAAGATGACCTGCATCTTGTTAGCTCTGTGCCACTGAAAAAGGAACTGACCAGTGATGTAGACCTGCTGTGTATGAGCAGCTGTGTGTGAGATTTTTGCAATGGGGACCTTCTACAGAAGTGGGCACATAAATATGTAGGAAGGAATACAAGAATTGGGAATGGTGTAGATCTACTGTTAGAGCATCAGAGTTCAGGTTCTTGCTGGTCCTCTACTTCTTGGGCTGGCAGTGCTGAAAAGGCATCAGGCTTAGCCATAGGGAAAAGAATACTCCTCACTTTACTTGAATGCCCCTCTATGCATTCTGGATAACTGAAATAGTACTGACCGTCCTATTAGATTGAACATTTAGACTGCATCTAACACTAGTGAGCATACAGTCAGTAACGATCTTGTGATGGGGAGATGGGACTGTGCTCAGGACTTTCTCTGTTAGAGATGAAGAGCCACATCTAGCTTTCCTCAATGAGGTGGATGGGAAGACACCCCCCCCCCCCCCTCCCACCCCTCCCCAATACTGAATCATTACCACATAACTAACCATGCAAATTAAATCCACTTTTGGCCTTCGTTGAGCAGTTAAAATGAGCTTGGTTGTGTTCCTGTTTATTGAAGTGTTGAAGTATTTCACTTCCTGCACTGGTGGAAGCACTAGCTCAAGTTCAGACCATTAGTGTTGTGTAGAATAGGGACCAGTATGACTTAGGACTTGAGCACAAGATACGCCTGTCCCAAAGGAAACACTCTGCTCCCTAGACTTAGTACATTAATTTTGGATTACTTTCAAGCACTGACACTAACTCAGGATTTCCTGTTTTTCTCTTTGCCATGCCCACCATTTATGGGACTTTATTGGCTGAGATTCTAACCATGCACTCTTAACCTCCAGGTGTGGGAGGGCCGATGGCGGGTCATACCCCATGATGTTCTTCCTGACTGGCTAAAGGATAATGACTATCTGTTGCATGGACACAGACCACCTATGCCCTCCTTCCGCGCTTGCTTCAAGAGCATCTTCAGAATACACACAGAGACTGGCAACATCTGGACACATCTTCTAGGTATTTCCATTATGCTTTAAAGTGAATGAGCACTGTTAATGATCGAGGAGCATAGGCAGCTGGGGAAATATTTTTAGGGGGACTGAGCCAGCCCTGCACTCACTCCTTGGTGGCAGGTCCTGTTCTGTGGCCCCTCACTCTGACCTGTTGGCTCACTGCGCTCATACTGGAGGAGCCTGTTTAGTGTCACATAAGTGCATCTCTATCCAAATAGAGTCCCCCTCCCCCACGATGCCCTGCCTAACCTCCTACTTGGCCCTGGTGCTGCCAAACACAGGGCCTTAGGATCCTCATTTCCTGTGGGACTGTCGCCCCATCCCAGTGAACCTTCACAGGAAATGCCATTTAGGAGCCAGCATCCACTGTTGGGACTGAGGAATCTAGCTCCACCTCCCAGGAATCCAGTGTGCAGCCACATGTGAGGCTTTGCTTGCTGACTGGGTATGCATACAGACAGTGTGGTAGCTCCAAATAGTTTGGAGAAGTGAGAACTGAGACCCCTGTAGACCTAGCCACCTGCTACCGAAGTTTGAGTGGTGTGGAAGATCCTTTAGCCGGGGCAGAGTCATAGGTGCCATTATCCTTCCAGCATGACATGCTGGGTAGAGTTCCAGGTGTTCCTTGTTAAAATTCCCCCACCAAATGTTAGGGAGAGTTAAGGTGGTTTCCTTGTCTTTGGAGTTCAGCTCCTCTTGATACTGCTAACTCAGCACTGTGAGATCTTATCCTTGGGGCCCATAAGCATACATCCGAAGATCACTTATTGCCTTCAGAGTGCACAAAAGTTGCAACAAGTGTCAGGGGACTGCGGGGAGGGGTGGGGTGAATCTACTAGAAGGGCATTTCCTGGATCCCAGAGAAAGACATTCACCCTTTTCCTGTCCCCTTCTCCAATTACACAAATTGAAAGCGGTGCTGTGCTATTGACGTGTGCCTTTTTCAGGAGCAAAGAGTAAGTACGTATGCTATAAATGCTTAATATATTTTTGTATGCCAAGTGCTGTTGCTCTCCCTCGTTGTAGTTGAGACAGCATTTTTGCTAAAAGGGGAAACATGCTCTGTTAGCTTACCCTGTCCCTCACCTGTGCTCCTCTTCCACTGCAGTACGCAATCTTCCCCAATACCCAGGGCTTATCACAAGGTAAGCAGAAATACTTTGTGGGAGCTCTGTGTTAAAGTAGTGACACTGCATCACTGCATTTCAGTCGAGCAGAACTGGATGTAGCTGTTCTCAGACCTGTTTGTGCCGTTCTCCATTTTGCCTGAAAGGTACATACTCCCTTCCTTCCTCTCCTGCAGATGTGTGCTACTTTCCATTCCCTGCCAAACTAGGGGAAAGAGTCTGGCCGGAGGGTCAAACTTCCCTGGCAGTGCTGAGCATTTTCTGCTGTATACCCCTTTCTCATTGCCCAGGGCGCATTATCAAAGTGTGAGCAGAAGTTTAACTGACCACAAATTAGTTTTAAATTCACATTGCAGTGACTCTATCCCACTTAACCCTCCTGCCCAGCTTGGGAGGATAAAAACCCACTCTTACACTCTTCCAGCTGTTGAGTGAACAGCAGTATTCTTTGGCAAACAACTTAAGCTTTGAAATAAACACATCACAGCAGCAAACTGGGCTCTGTGTTGGGTTGCTGATCTGTGAAGCTGGGCTGAGCCACTGTTCCCAGGAGCTCAGAAAAGGTCTGTCTTAGATATGCCAGTGATTTTGAGTCAGTGGTGTCTTCACCTCGATCATAAGCATCCTTGTTCCTCCTTGCATGGTGGAAGCCACGCAAATAAGAAATGCTACTTTGTAGGGATTCAGGAGGGCTGGGGTGGTACCTGGTCTTTATCTGACTAGGCTGTGAAGAAGCCTGTCAATCACAGTGAGAAAGGGAGATGGTGGTTCTGGGTGATAGTGGGCTCTTCAATGAATACCACAATTTGGGGAATGTGGGAATATAATTCCTATGAGGACTAGGATTCATGATTTCCCAACCTTTACCTTGGAAATGGAGGAAGCAATGAATGGTATTGCATCTAACTTTAGGGTTTTCCTTAGCACTTAAATTAGCAATCAGGAACAAAATACAGATTGGGTACACTGCTGGTGTATTACCTGAGAAAATCTAGGGCACCCCGCCTATACCCTACTGAGGGCTCAAGGCATGACCCAGTCAATTTAGAGCACCCCCACCCTTTCCCTTCTGGGGGCTCGGGGCGTAAGGCTCAGGAAGAAACTCGGTCAATTTAAGTACCCACCCTTTCCCTCGGGACTCAAGGCTCTACGGGTCTGCGGAACCTTTTCCCAGTGAAAGAGCCTTACGCATCTATTTATTAGCAACACACACAGAATACAAATACCAAGCAAATATCTTATGTGCACCATTCCCAATGGATTGGGTGAATTTGTCTATGTCCAGTCAGGATCCACTCATCTGGGGGTTCCCGACAATGCCTCTGCACGTCGTGGTCATGCAGAGGGGTCTGAGTTCCAGCAGCTTGATGTTGAACTGCAGTCTGGAAATGGTTCCCAAAGAGCATTGTTTTTCATTTACATTGTATAGGTAAAACTAGCTCCCTCCTTCAAATCTTCTAAATCTATCACATTATCCCACACTCTTAAATAGCAAATTTTAAACAATTACGCACTGGCACCTGTGTCCTCTTTCATGCCCAAATTGTAACTTAATTGTGACCTTCTCTATTTGAGCAGATGGTCATCATAAAACACTGGTCAGAGCTTATCTTACCATTTGAGTCTTTCTGCATCCTCCTTAATTTCCAAGAGTCTTTACAACCTTGGTGGTGATAACTCTCGTTAGGGACATTCCTGAGGTGGGGGTGCTTTATCAGCAGCAGAACATTCCTTTTATTATCTTTTTCTTTCCAGTTTTGGTGATGAACTCCGAGTTTCACCCAAGGCTAGTTTAATATGCGGGGTGGGGGTTGATCTGATCTCAGGCCTACAGGTGAGTGGTGGTTGTGTGCTCAACCAGAGTGTGGATGCCTCCCCAAACAAGTGAAATCATGGTTTCTGTTCACGTGTGTACAAATTCAGTCTGAGGGTCAAACATATGACTGATCAGATCAGACCGCATGGAAGTGTAACATTGTCATTATGATTTTTGTTCAGTATTCCCCACGCCCGTAAACTTGGTCTAGTACAATACCTTTCAGGTTACATGAGTCTGATACCTCTGCCTTATCTTTACTTAGGTTGTGTGTTCTTCCTGTGTCTGGGAATCTTCTACATGTTCCGGCCAAACATGTCCTTTGTAGCACCTGTGCAGGAGAAGGTAGTTGTTGGACTGTTCTTCTTGGGAGCCATCCTTTGCCTCTCCTTCTCATGGCTCTTCCACACGGTTTACTGCCATTCAGAAGGTGTCTCCCGGCTCTTCTCCAAGTAAGTATCCAGAGTGGAATGCATGCTAGTTCGGAAATGGCTGGGCAGAATGGGGTGGGGAATCCTGGCTAGGGTTTGGGAGCCCCACTGTAACAGTGTGCCTAGCTATGTGGCCATGGAAACACTTTTTTGAATAGTAGTTGGTGGGTAGGGCTTGCATGCAGTTTCTTCGAGCCCAACATTCCATAGACCAAGGGTATAAATACCACTCTCTCTATCCCTTTGCTGGAGCAGTCTCAAAACCAACTTTTCCTTTTCACCATTGAGATGACTATACCTAAATATTTAACTATTACAGCTAAGATTCTAAAGTCTAAGAGTGTAACTTTTTTGCCTTTGTTCTTTTTTTTAACCTATTTTGGACCATCTTGGGCCTTGCTAGACATAGTGGATCTGTCACATAAAAAAGGGTTTAGGAGTATTTCTCTTGCCCTTGTTAAGCACCCTGCTTTGGCTGGACAATGAGGGCCCTTTGCTCTGGAAGGTCACTCAGCCAAGGGCTGTGAAGTCTGCAAGTCTACCACAAAAAGAGCTCAGAGGGACCAAAAGCCTCCCTCCTAAAGAACCTGTTTCTGCAAGAGGCCATGATAGTTCACGAGTCCTCTGTCAGGAAGCAAATAGTTCATGGGAATTGTGCATCTGGAATGTGGGGACCCTGTCTGCTCTGCACCTAGTAGATATAAAAACATCCTAGTTGATGATGTGAGTGGTTGTTTCCTAGGTGGTCACTGGGACCTTGGGTGGGCAGTCTATTTGCCATCCTGGTGTGGACTCGTCAAACAAGTCAGAACAAAGTGTCCAGAATTCTATCTGCTGCCTATTCCTTGCATCAAGAAAATGCTCCTGACTGTTTTTAGTCAATTCCTTCTTATCCCCAGAATAAAAACCTTGAGGTACTCTTAGGGGGGGTGGGCTATTTATACCCTGGGCCTGTGGAATGTTGGGCTATGGGGAGCAGCATACACCTACTGACCACTGCTCAAAAATGGTCTAATGACTGCCTGGCTAGGCAAGTCACCTCTGCGGGGCGGGGGTCTGTGGAAGTAATCATTCAGTGAACAAGATAAGTCATCTCATTTTACAGTGATCAATTGGCTCTTAGGATAAACAGTACATGGGGTGGTACAAGAACTTCTGGGGTTGGCTTTCTTTGTCAACCTGTTTTATCCTGTTCTAGGCTGGATTACTCTGGCATCGCACTTCTCATCATGGGCAGCTTTGTTCCATGGCTGTACTACTCCTTCTATTGCAACCCTCAGCCCTGCTTCATCTACTTGATTGTGATTTGTGTCCTGGGCATTGCAGCCATAATAGTCTCCCAGTGGGACATGTTTGCAACCCCTGAGTACCGAGGGGTAAGAGCAGGTAAAAACCAAAATTTATTTTTTGCTTTTTTACTACAGTTGCTTCTTCCTACTGACTCATTACAAAAGCATACTCCTAGGAAAAGCCTGCATTGCCAAAGGATGTCCTAGTGTGTGGGAAACGCAACTAACGCATTCTTGGACAGTAAACTTGGCACATCTGCTATAAGAGAGGCATTGGTGTTAAGTTAGACCCTCTGGGTGCAGGAGTAGGGGGCAGCACATGGAATGGGAGAGGCAGATAACGGTATTTCCATCATTATTAAACAGCTCTCTCCCCTTTTAAAGGTGAGATACTAGCAGTCTGTGTCCGACTCCCATAGACTCGTCTTACGGCTGTCATCCATTAGGTTCACTAAACGTGGTAGTTAGCCTCCCTGCTGAGTGCAGCTGAGCAGTTAACATATAATCATAATCTTGTGGATATCTAGCTTTTCTCCCTTTGACTATGGTAGACAAGAATAGTTACTGTTGCCTTCACCAATCAAGAATAAGGAGTCTTTGGGTAACACAATTTAATGGTATACCAAGTTTCTCATGTTTCTTCATGTTGGGTTTTGTGTGTATACAAACCTGTGTGCACTCCAAGGTACTATTCCTTATATTCAGGAAAGGTCTGACTGTCCGGATACAGCAAGGAGTTCAGTCTCCTGAATATTAACTGTATGAGGGACGGAACTCCTTTCCAAAAAGACTTCTTATTCAGATCTTTAGGGTTTAATACTCTATGCTAGGACAATTTTGAAATCAGTCAAGCTGTGATCAGGCAAGTTACAGGGTCAGATAAGCCTCAGGTGCAATTTTTTCTGTGTTGTTCCTGGGGCGACCTGTATGCTATACTGTAAATAGTCTACATCAGGGGTGGGCAAACTTCGTGGCCCGAGGGCCACATCTGGGAATAGAAATTGTATGGCGGGTCATGAATGCTCACAAAATTGGGGTTGGGGTGTGGGAGGGGATGAGGGCTCTGGTTGGGGGTGCAGACTTTGGGATGGGGCTAGGGATGAGAAGTTTGGGGTATAGGAGGGTGCTCTGGGCTGGGACTGAGGGGTTCAGAGGGTGGGAGGGGGATCAGGGCTGGGGGAGGGGGTTGGGGTGCACGCTCCAGCTGAGGGTATGGGCTCTGGGGTGGGGCTGCAGATGAGGGATTTGAGGTTTGGAGGGTGCTCTGGGCTGGGATCGAGGGGCTTGGAGGGCGGGAGGGGGATCGGGTTGGGGCATGGGGAGAGGCTCAGGGGTGCAGGCTCTGGGTGGTGCTTATCGCAAATGGCTCCCGGAAGCAGCAGCATGTCCCTTCTCTCGCTCCCGCACAGGGGTGCGGCCAGATGGCCCATTGGAGCACCGGAGGGGGCCATTGGAGCATGCAGGAGCCAGAGTGGGGCCATGCTGTGGTTTCCAGGAGCCGCGTGGAGAGGCCACCGCCCCTGCTCCCCAGCTTGAACACCATAGAGGGGCCATGCAGCTGCTTCCGCCAGCCACATGGAGCAGCCCCCGACCCTACTCCCTGGCTGAAATGTCAGAGTGCTGTAGCCGGGCAAGCCCCAGACCCCGCACCCCAGCAGGAGCTCGAGGACGGGCTTAAAATGGCTGGCAGGCCGGATCTGGACCACGGGCTGTAGTTTGCCCACCCCAGTCTACATCACTGGTCATTTCCTTTTTCTTGCATGTCATTCTCTACCATACTCTTTCAGTAGCAGAATATTTTATGGGATCTAGGCGCCCTCTATAGCCCAAGAATGTTAACACTCAAGTTGGTGCATAGATGGCTTATACAAAGAGGCACTAACTTTAAGCGAAATAACATTTAGTATGCCTAGAAGAACTGCTGACCAGTATCCATAGTGTATCAAGGGACTCTGTACTTTCTTGAGCACTTACTTTGTTATGGCATAAACTTGCTGCCATACTTGGGACCTCCAGCTTCAACAGCTTCCACCTTAAGTCTTTTGTGAATGTTAGGCTCTGCCTATTGCTGCTTTCTTTGTCCAAGCCTGACTCCACCATTTTCCTTACCTCCTAGGAGTATTTCTGGGTCTCGGCCTCAGTGGTGTTATCCCCACCCTGCACTTTGTCATCTCTGAGGGCCTTCTCAAGGCAGCCACAATGGGGCAGATAGGCTGGCTGGCACTCATGGCCTGTCTGTACATCACTGGTGCTGCGCTGTATGCTGCCCGTATACCAGAGAGATTCTTCCCGGGCAAGTGTGATATCTGGGTGAGTCTGCAAAGTAACTGGGTACTAAGATTGACACACAAGCTTGTTATGTTGAGGTCTGGTATTGCTATGCTTTTGTGTTTCTTTGATTGTGGCAACCAACTGTAACTGCTTTAAAAGCTGCTTTTGAGATTTCATAATTTGGGAACAGATTAGTGGATTTGATCATTGAAAAGTTGACACAATGCTGTTAGAAATCATTGAAATGCCTTTACAAAGGCTAGCTGTGGGACTGTACTTTGTCACTGAGGCTCTGTCATATGCATGACACTTTGCTTCTAGTCTCCTAGGGATACTTCAAATAGATGTACAGCATTTATGCAAACCCACTGCTCATGCTACTACCTCTTCCTTTAGCCTGGGAGGTATACTCAATATCACGTCCTCATGGTGTCCATTCTGCTGCACTGTAATCCCTCGCTTCCTGGGTTTTTATCCTGGATAGCCAGTGACTGAACTTCAGATTTTAGTATTAACTAAAACCTCAAACTACTTGTTGACTCATGTTCAGCCTGGCTCCCCTTATGGTGGGGGAGCAGACAGAACAACTGTGTTTTGAAAATCCACTTGATGACATTGCGTCCAGGACTAGAGCAGAGCTCCAGTACCTATTCACGTGTGTAAGATGGGACATATCAGTAATCCCAGCAGCTACAGTGTATCCCTATTGCGAGGCATTAAGAGTCTAAGGAAAAAAATACCCTGTACTGCTAAGCCTTTTTTGGCCTGGGAACTGGAAGCATGCTGGTGTGATATCTGCCAAAGACAGATATGAAGGAAAGGCATACAGCTTCATTTCAGATTTTAAGTGTGCAAGTGATCCTGGTGGCTGTGAAATCTGAAGCAGATTTCTTTTTCCCCCTGCTTCCAGTGAATACAGCTTGGAAGAGGGGGAGATGCTGTAGCCAGTGATAATACAGTGACTGGTACAATATGGGATCTTGAATAGCCCAGCAAGTAATCTTAAGCTGCTGCTGCTGTGCACTGCTATATGCTTCAGCCCAACACGTCTCTTTGGAAAGAGGTTGGTACTTGGATTCCGTGGGTCTCTGGCTGAACAGTAATGTCTTGTTTCCACAGTTCCACTCCCATCAGCTGTTTCACATCTTCGTAGTGGCTGGAGCTTTTGTGCACTTCCATGGTGTTTCAAACCTTCAGGAGTTCCGTTTCACAGTTGGGGGAGGCTGCACGGAGGAGGGAGACATGCAGTAAAACCTGCCTTCAGCCCAGGATCATAACCAAAACAGAGGATTGCAAGAGGCGTTGATGTTAACGGGCTAGTGACGTGAACACCTGAGAATCCAAGCCTCATGTGATGGGATATGGAAGCTACTTGGGATTTCTGACACAAGAAATTTATACCTCAAATGATGGAATGAGTCAATTTGAAGACCAGGAAATTCTTAAACCCTAACTTATTCTTGATCTACAGATTGAGCTATAGAGGACCGTGTCCAAATCGGCTTCTGTTCAATGCCATATTTATTTGTAGAAAATGGGAGGGATGGCTTAGCAGTTTTCTTTTTTAAATCTAGGCTAAGATTTATATCTTCTTTAGGGGCAGGGGAAGGAGCTGATTTTAGATGCTCTTTTGGGGAAAAAATTGTAAATAAGATTTCTAACTTTCTGTTTAAAATAAATTTATATAAATGTTTTAAACGGGGTGGGGGGGGGAAAGGGGTTTTGTATAGATGCAACATGCAAGTACCACACACTGTTTCAATTTTGCACAAAAAGGTGACTGCAGGAGGATCAGATAAAATCCTTGGGAGTGAGGCATGATGGTCCTGCAGACTCTTCCCAGAAGCTGGCATGTACTGGGCAATATGGCATTCTGGTCAGTATTTGGAGTGGGCTCAGAACATGGCACATAAATGTTGGCAATGGCCTTTCTGCAAACAAAAGCCACTAGCTTTTTGGTTGCCATTCATGGATCTGCCATGTTTTGATATGATTATATGATGCTAATGGCACTTGTCAAAGAATAGAACAGCTGCTCAGGTGGGTAAGCATGTGAGGAGTAATGGGGGTGGGGAAGATAGGCTGGCACTGGAAGGAAGGAGCTGTGCACTCAGAGGAAGAATACTGTTTGGCTGCTTGCACACACTCGATTTTTTTTTATTGGATTTCTTCCTTATCCACAGAAGTCCTAATGTTTTCCAGTGTTAAATTTACTAAATTCCCTGTCCTGCAATAGACTCCCTGTCCTACTGTTGCCGCTGCTCCTGCTGGGGGAGCAGCTGACTTCCCCGGTATCATGGGCAGTGCTGTGCTGTGAAGCAGCCAGCAGAAAGCACTCAGATTTAATGGTTTCTCTTGACCTAATGCATCACCTTCATGTGTGTACAAAGCCCCATGGCCTACAGAATCTTGTGACTTTTAAATCTGCACTAAACCCTGCACAGTTCTCACTTCTCAGGTCCAGCCAATGTAATTTCCCAGCCCTGCTTAACCAATGGGATAGCTGGCTTTTTTTAATTTATTATTTTTATTTATTTTTTTAACCTGGAAGTAAAATTGAGACCATTTGGACTATTGTGGAGCCTCTGTATAGCAGGAAGCGCATAGTCTTCTCTCATTGGGTTGGTGTGGCTTCATCTCTGGAGCCTAGTCAGAAGCCAGAGAGAGAAGCAAATTGTTGGAGAATCTTCTGAGTCATGGGGCAAAACTGATTGTCAGATATATAGTTTGACACAGAAGTTTTATGTAATGGAGTAAGAGCCTAGTTGCTGGAAACTTAAGAGTTATTATCTCTCACATAGGATTAGTTAAACAGCTCCTAAAATGCTTTGGTTCACAAAGCAATAGGAAGGTAAAATTGTTCTAAATTTTTAAAGGGTGAAAATTCAAATTTGCAAGTGAAAAATGGGGATTGCAGAGATCTTACAAGTAAACATTCTTGGGAATCCAGGCTATTAATGAATGTTTCAAGCAGTTATCTTGTCTAATAGGATTGAATAGAAGTGGAAGACCTTGATTATCTTCAAGGTTCCTCACTGACTCTAAAGAGCAAGTATTTTCTCTCTTGCCTTTTGGTTAGTTATTTTCAGAAATTTTGAAATAAAGCTTAGCTGTAGAAAGAGGTGCTTTATTGGAGCCTGTGGGAGGCTTAGAGGGATGTTTTTCTTCTTGGTTGGATCACCATAGTAGATGTCAATAGGATTGAAGGAAAGGCTTGTATTGTCTTGTGGGTTTGTGCAGTGCCTAACTGGAATACAGAGCAGTATTAACCAGGCACTTTTAATGGGAGGGTTTAATAAGCATAGGCAGGAGGTGTGCTTTGCTACTTGAGAAAGCAATGGTACATATCAGAACCAGACTTGTTCTGGAAAGCACTTTGGATACCTCTGTATTAATACCAGCAAAAGTGGCAGTCTCCATCCTGAATCACCCTACGCTCACTCCCTGAAGGAACATTGTAACTTGGCCCAACACAGCACAGAACTATTACAAAAACACACTTCACCTGCTATTCTTAACCCAGTCAATCTCTGTTTAGGAAGTTTTTGTGCTCCAATAAACTGCCTACCTGTGCACTCTCCTTCCCCTCTCCCCCCCCCCCCCAGTAGCACTTGCTGAGAACTCTTCCCAGGTTGGCACCTGAATGCCTTACTCTCAGCGGTCAGAGGCTTGCTTGCTCTGTGTGCAGATTATTGCCATAGAATAGATAGGACCTACAGCTCTTTTCCTTCCTCATTAAATAGTGGCCTTGTTCAGTATTTTCTTTCTTTTTTAAATTGCTTACTGTTGGAAGCAACAAAGCACATTTTGGGATTTTTGATGGTTGGGGTCTCTGGTGATTGGTTCCATATAAGATGGGATCTCATGACTTGCTGTGTTCTTAACTTCTGCTAATAAAAGAACCAAATGGGATATTGACCAAGTTTGGCTCTTCTTTGCTTTGTATGATGTTTACAAGAATAAAACAATTTATTTTCTCCCTCCCCCAATGCTTCTGGCTGACCAATCAGCTTCTTATTAAGGGGTCTGATAGTCCAGATGTCAAACTGAGACCTGGAGAGTTCTCATTACTTGCTTGGAGCAGGGTTGGGGATGTACTGTGAACACTAGGACAGGACCTAGATGCTAGCAAATAGTTGCACAAGTGTTGCTAGATAGCATCCCTTTATCTATGGCTCAAGTGAGGGAAGTAAAAGTCTAGTCTGACTCGCTTATGAGTCTGAGATCAGTGCTATTTTATTTCTTTAAACTCTGCCTTAAGCAAGGTTGCCCATACACAGCAGATATTGTGTGCTCACCTGGATTAAGTCTTCATACTTTAATTGTGGCCTTCACCCACTGCTGTACTGATGGACCTTGAGTTTGACACCATAGGGATCAAGCTTGTCACTCATGCCTCTATGCCTAATACACCAAATTTAAGTTTTGTTCATGTATGTTGTATGATGGAAACATTGCTTTACTTCTAGGCCTCCTTAGACACTTTGCATTGTAGGTCCTGACTTGTCTCAAATTGTTTTAGAATAAGTTTTTTGTCTCGTCAACAGCTGGGCAAATCCTGTTTAAAACTATTTTATAAACTGGATCAGTCTAGCAAACAGGATTAGCAAACCATAAGCTTGTTTGTGATTCCAGGAGCATGAATGTTTCCAGAGATTAAAAATGGTTTGGCAGCTACTTACAAAGTTAAATGGCTCCGTTATCAAAAAGTCCGGTAGACACTTGCTCCCCCAGTGTTCTGTATGCTTCCTTTATTGTGTATCCTGTCTGCACTAGCAGGAGAACAGTTTTAAACACTGGCTGAGTAATTGTGGGCTAAGGGGACCTGTTGGCATCATTGCCATCGAGTCACTTTCCTATTGCCAAGCATCCCTTTCTAGGATAGACAATATCTGCACTAAATTTCTAGAGAAGCCTGTTTTGAAGTACTGCCCCAAGAGTCACTTGGATTTGACTGCTTTGGATTAGAAAATGAAACTTGGTCAGTGCTTTTTACTCTCGGAAGAACTTGGTGCATGGAGTATGAAGGTGGGTCAGAATGTGGTTTGGACTGTCACTAGTGTTAACACTTACTGCTTCACACAATGCAGTTAACATGTGAAACTTGTTGCTGAGGAATGCTGTGATGGCCAAAAGTACAACTGGGTTTAAAAAAAAGATGGCCAGGGATGGAAACCCAAGCTCCGGGTGTCTCAACTGCCAGAAATTGGGACTGAACAATAGGATGGATCACTCAGTAATTGCCCTGATCTGTTCATTCTCTCTGAAGAATCTAGCAGCAGCCACTGTTGGAAGACAGGATACTGAGCTGGATGGACAATCGGTCTGACCTAGTGTGGTCATTCTTATGTCATGTTCCAAAGGGCAGAGGGATGGGTATATTTCAGTCTCCCTGGGCAAGATTGCCTTTCTTTACCCTGTCCGTCTTCTCAGGCATCTGCTGGACTGGGAATTAGATGAGCCTTTGTGCTGCCATGGAGCCCAGCCAACCCTCTAGTCGTCCTTAACTTTACAGCTCCTTATTGTGCATAGAGTAGCAGAAAAGAACACTGCAGTAGCACTGAGTGAAAACTAATAACAAATATGTGTTAAATGCTACAAAGCGTATTTCCTTTCTAAACTGGGATTATTTTGCTATTTATAGTGCCTAGCACAATGGCATACTGACTGTAGTGGGGCCTCTAGGGCTACCATCATACAAATAAATGATGAAAGGAAATAGGGTCTAAGGCTTCCTTTGGGGAAAAAAGTGGAATTCATCTTCTAAATCAGTGAGGAGGTTACCTGCTGGAGGGTTGGGAACTGGGCACCAAGCTGGTGGGAAGCATGGATGCTGGAAGCTCTTGTGAAGGACAGTGAATGTTAGAAGCTGTTTTGATATTCCTGGAGCCACACTCCGGTGGAGAGATGTTCTGACTAACACTAAAAATTGGTCAACTCACTACAAATTGGTCATTTAGTGGTGCTGCCAAAATAACTTCATGCAACAAAATACAAAAGTTAAATAACATTTCTGTCTGGTACCTCTTTCTAGTAAATAAGTTTCACATGAGACCTCCAACTTTCCCAAGTGTTGAAAATATCAACAGGCACTGCTATTAGCAAAGCACCTTACCTGGGTTTGGTCAGAGGAGCTTTTATAGCCCCCATCATATGCTAGATGGGCATACAGTTGAACCAAAGACTGAGCCAACTGCCTCCCCGTTAATCTTCTGGTGGTGGGGGGGGAGGAGCACTCTTGTATATGTGGTCCCCTTCTTGGAATCCTGAGGTTTCCCACCAGCTTTACACTGATCCATTATTATTTCCCAGAGGGTCCATGGTACACTAGCATTTTGCCAAACAGAAGAAGGCTTGGTTCCTGCTCCACAAAGCCTACGTGCTTTTAAGTCAAACGGCTGCAACTCAGCTGAAAGGCTTCTGCTTTCATTTTCAGGACAATATCCCAAACACGTTACTGCAACCACCTAATGCTGTGAGGTAAGTCCAAGGCTAACTTTCCTAATTCTCAGTTTCTTCCCCCATAAACCATTTCCTAGTTAGAGCTAAGGAGCCATCCATGCCATGTTGTACTTGAGGGTTTAGTAATTCAGGTGGGAGTTCTGCCACAGGCAGAGCAATGTGAGCTAAGATTCTGCATCATGTTTAAGTGGTACAGTATAAAGCAGGGCTTTTATATTTGCTGCAGCCACTGTTCTAGGTAGTAGGATAACTTTATCCTGTAGCATGGCATTTCTCATTTTGCAAACCCCCATCAAATGCACTTCTGAATTTTAACCAAAATGTGTGCTTCCTCCCACCGCTCCCCTTTCAACTCAGGACTCAAGATTGTGGCAGGGGGACATGGAATTAAATGCCTTCAGAGCTATATTGTTGCTACTAATCAAGGCCACAGTGCTGCTACTGCTATAGGAAGGAAGTTAGGTCTTCATAGCGCTGATCTCCCCAGACAGCTTCTATCAGTAGATGCTGCTTGAATCCACCAGCACCTTTTATGAAGGCCACAACCACTGCTTTCTGCTTCTGCAGACTTCTCATAAGAACTGCCACTGTCAAAATCCCATGCCTGCATTGTATGCAGCTGTGGGAATGAATAAATATCATGATTGATAAGCTTCTGCATGATGTATCCCTCAGCATTGCTCCTTCCCTCATCTCACTGGAAGGAGGAGGGTGGCAGTTGTTCTCTGTTCCCACCCTGGAACATGTCCTGGCTGTTTACAGAATTTTCATGGTGCACTTCTGAAAAACTCTAGGAGCATGTGGACCCTTCTTCCTGGGAGAATCTCTACTGTAGTTTGTTTTGGGGATTATAAACAACGAGGCTGTGCCACAATCACACACGGTTGAGCAGATTTACTAGTCAGCCCAGAGCAGTGTTTCTCATTGTGAGAGGGCGAACAGACATGGACATCATGTATTCCTGTGTGACTGACTTCTTCCTGGGTGCATGCAAACGAGTGAACATCTCAGCTCTGAGACCAAGCAGGAAATGTGATCTGTCTGAAGCAGAGAAACCATTATCCATAGTTTCAGGGTGTGTCTATGTGCTGAGTTGCAGTGGTTTTAACTAAAGGTATGATTACAAACCAATTTTAGTTAAACTGGTGGGAAAGGCTGTTTGGGCACTCTTATTTTGGTTTAAACCAGTTTACGTTAGTTTGCCCTAAATTGATTAGGAATATAGGTTGAAGCTAAACTGCAATTAAACCACTCTTAAACTGAACTAAGTGCCATGTGGGTTTGCACTGGTTTAAACTGGTGTGTGTTTGTGTGTAGACAAGACCTTAGTGCTGGAGATGCTTCAATTAACTCTGACACCTCCAAATGCCCAGCTCCTCCATCCTCAAGGCCTTCCCTCATAGCAAGAATTTCATTGATCTAGGCAATAGTCACTCCCATGCTACCTATTTTGTATGTCAAACGACTGTGTCTATGGTAAGTGGCTGTCACACACACCCCTGTGCCCACTCCCTCATTTCTTAGATACTGGACTTGCAGTGCTAAATCAAACCATCTGGCTGATGTGGATTCAAAATCCAAATAAGTTAGCTGAGTGTTACTGGGAGTTAAAACTCCAGATCTGTGTCCTAGGTTCCAGGAATAGAATCTGCTCTGGAATATACACAGCATCTTTTCGAGTTTAGTAAAGTAAATAAAAATGGCCAGTTCTTCATCCTGTAAACTCAGTTCATTGTCCCAGAAGAAATTGCATTTGTCATGTATTCCCCATCTAGAACCAACCCTCTCAGCTGTGCCCTTTATTCCTCTGATTCACCTGAGAGAAGCGGGCTCTCTTGTGCTCCTCTCCACAATACAATTACAACAACGAAGAGCTGAGTGGGAATTTTTGGCCAAGACCGTTTTTCATTAGAAAATGCAGACTTGTCAAACCCGAAACTTTTCCTGCAAAAGGGGCGGGGATTGGGGGAAACTTTCATAGGGAAGCCTTCTTGGGTCATGATGGGATGAGAGAGGCATTATAAGATGCCCCTCCCACCTCAAATCTTGCCTCCTCCATAAAAAAAATCTGAGATCCACAGCCCCATGTGCATGTGCACAGGTGTGCAAACAGACATTGTTGCCTCTGCCCTAAACAAGGCGGAAAAAATTACAGCTGTGCATCATCATGCCATGCTACGGTGGCAGCATAATGCCACTCAGCTGGAGCTGAACAATGGCTTCTTTCACAGCTGCTAGTTTACTTCTGCAGTTGTGATTTGTTTTGTTTTTTTTTCTCTCCTGTTTTTGCCTGCGCTGCCAAGTGTGCAGGGCTGAGGAAGATGGCCGTAGGAGTAGCTGCTTTTTCTGGGCATTTTCCCTTAACTCCAGGGCCACGTGAGAGCTGATATCCCTGCCAAACCAGCAAGCAACCAGAGCTTGGGAGCACAGTAAATCCCACTATGTCGCAGACAGGGAAAGCTGTAGGTGTATGTTTGGAGCACCTTTGAGAGTCTCAAAAAGAAAACCTTTCACCCTTCTAAGGATTAAAAATACTAGGAGCATCAGACAGTGCTCTGTTAGGCCACTGGTCGAGAATGCAAAGGTCTGCTTTCAAGGGAAACCAGCCTTTAGTCATAAACAGGCCTGTATAGCGACCGCTTCAGGGAGTACAAAAGGCTGACTTCTGCACTTTGGTCCCAGGTCACATCAGCAGCATCACTGGGTAGATAGGGCCACTCTTCCCTTTATCTACTTATTTGGATCCATATTTCTCCTCATTTTCTTTTTGTAGGTGCTTCCAAAGAAATTTGACAGACATTAGCCTTCATGGTACTCTGTTGGCTAAACTCTTAAGTTTGCTGTACACCTCTCTGGTCTGTGCATCTGTCTCTTTCTCCCTGATTGACAGCAGGGCTCTGGGAAGCGTAGACTCTGCTGGGACTGGCTTTGCACAAGACCCTGTTTGTTCAGGCTTTTTGAGAGTGCAGTGGTGTAGTGTTCTGTGAGGCTGCACATGGTGCCTCATGCAGGCTAGCTTGCTTCCCTTGGCTTGCTCCCCCACAGTAAGCCTGGCTGTCACAGCATTAACAGTGGGTCTATAAATCATGTTCCTTTCCCTGTGGGCAGCAGGGAGTCCCAGACAAAGGAGCATCCAGCACTGCCCAAATGGTGCTGCAGGTTAGTAATTGAAACCCCAGGGGCCTCCTCCATCACTCAGAGCATGCTCAGTGTGAGCATCAATCACAAGCATTCCCCCCTTATGGGGGAGAGAAGGGGGGAATGCTTGTGAAATATGTATAACTGCACCATGACAAAATGCAGTATCATTAGATTAAAACTCCAAAGGAGCTTTCTGCAGGGGAAGCAGATGGATCTGGCCAGAGAGGGGGCAGGTGAGCGAGCTCCTCACCACCTCTGCCAGGGCAGGCGGAGGTCTTTGCTGCAGGGAAAACAGCTGGAGCTGCCCACAGAGCCTGGAGCTAGAGGCAGGAGAGACCAGGAGGCCTCTGTCCCCATATCCCCCATGCCCTACCCCCCTCAAACCAAATATCACGACAGTTCCTTTAGACACTGGCAGTTCTTGCCTGGCTAGCTACTTTTTTTCTTTCTTTCTGTCATTCCTTCATGCCCAGTCCATGGTCTACAATAGGGAAGTCTGGCCCTTTTTAAAAGGGGGAGGGGCTGGCTAAGGGACAGATGGTGCAAGAGAGAGCAAATAATGGGGAGCCGTGGGAAGTGGGAGCAAATGGTACAACTAACAATGCTCATTGCTGGACTATGCTTTAATCATTTTGCCTCATTATTTTATTATTCATGTTTTATTGGTATTATGGCAGCACTCAGAGGCCCCGACAGACCTTGGCCCAGTTGACAGTACTGCATGCTGGGAGATGTAGTCTCCATGTCTGTATTACTAATTAAGTCAGCTGCCATCTGTTCCATTTTAGGCAAATCAGGGCCAACCCTTGAGCTCCTGGCAAGCTGCCAATGCACTGTAGGGGTTGCATGACTCAGTTGCCCCCAGGCCATAGACTCTGCCATGGCTGTAATCACGACCAGTGGGTTGGGGTTGCTTGGAGTTACAAGGCTGAGATCAGTCCCGAGTATAACAGAATACACCTTAAATATCTGTTTAAAATATGCCATATCTTTGTTTTTAAAGAGACCATGGCATGCACTTCATTTAAAAAAAAAACAAAAAAGAAAAAAGAGGGGAAAAAAAAGACCTTGTTTCCTCTTCCCTGGTCATTGTTTGTAATGCCTGAAAACATGGCCTGGCAGCTGGGAGCAACCAGAATCATTAGTGGGGGACTGCCACTGTCTCTAGCCCAGCCTGTGGCCTCAGCAACTGATTAGGACAGCAGAGCTCCGAGTGTTTCGTTCTTAGCTGCTTCTGCAGAGAAAGCAGACGGCAGCACAAACCCCACTTCCTCTTCTTCTTCTCTCCTTTCTTCTTTTTGTACGTAGGTCCTACGACTGGAGGGGCTATTTCATTTTGTTTTTAACAGACAGGTGCCTTTTCCTTTTGTATGCAGGCTTGTTAGAATTTCCAAGGTGTTCAATCACTTTTTAAGAGAAGTCAGTTCTGGGGACCAAAGCTCTATGGCAGTTTCTGCTGAAATAAGTATAACTAGCCAAGTTGTGCTGTTTCCTCGGCTCAGATCTCCTTTTAAGATAGTGCACTCCAGGTTACGAATTGTATAACATTGATGTGGGGAATCTGGTCTCTAGGAACCTCCCTATGTTGGGGAACCACCTCCTTGTGCAGAGCCTCACTGAGGTATTTTTCCTTACTGCTGCCCTGCCCTGCAGTTTATACCTAACTCTGTTCTTCACTGACTTTCCCTGTGCCCCATAACCACCAGGAATCCAAGGTGCTGAAAATCCTTGATCCCAGTGAGCAATATGTTCAGTAAATAAAATTCCATATCTAAACCCCTACTGTTCCTGAAGGGCAATGTGTGCCCAGTTCAAACCATCCTACGCAGTAGTAAATCAGCCTGGTTTGGTGCAGCCAGGCAGATTACATTATGGAGAGCTCTGCTACATAGTGGATAGCACTGGTGAAATCCCCACTGCATCTGCATGGACTCCATCACCAGCAGAGGCAAGTGTAAGTGAGGTGCCACGCCAGAAGGGGGCAGAACCAGCCACAGGAAGATGGTATCAGATGTTCCTGGAGCCTTCACATCCCTCATGAGCTCCTCTGATCTGTCAGGTAATGTCTCCAGAGCTGGGAATAGCCAATCCAGTGTTTATTGCATAGACAGTTAATCCCATTTGATCCTCAGCCCTGGTGGCCAGGACTCAAGCTGCAAGTTCTTTTGGAAGAAATAGCTTCCATTGTAAACACAAAACTGAACTATACGCCTTTTGTCAGAGAGACAGGCCAATATGTGAGGGGTCTCTAATGCCTTGTCCCCACAAGTCCACAGGAAGTCTCAAAGTGCCTACATCGTGGGCTCCTCCCCTCCTACAGCTCCAACTCTGGCTCTAAGAATGTCCCTGGGAAGTAATGGACTCCCTTGTATTATCCACCATTTCTGCGAACTGTAAGGATAGTGGTAGACTCTGTCACCGCAGGAGGACGGCAAAGGTCACCAGCGCTAGAAGGAGTAATGTCAGCGAGGCTGAGATCTCAGCAGCTCCACCGCAGTCCTGAGCGTTCTCCTGAGAACAAATGAGGAGGAGGCACAAGATCAGCAAATCTATTTCTAGGGTTACAAGAGGGCAAGTAAAATGATTCATCCCACTGCCAGGATGCTCAGGAGCTTATGGAATGAAGGGGGTGGAGGCTGCAGCCAGCGCAATGTCCCACAGTATTCACTGCCTTGGTCAATATCACACTGAGCAGAGAGGAAGGGACAGGTCAAGAGTAAGGGCCTCATGCCTTCAGGCTGGGGGACCTTCCAAGAGCATGTCACACATTCATGTAGACAGCTGGAAAACCAACTGTCCTAAAACCTCTCTTAGAGCTCTCAAAGACCCATGCACCAGTGCCAGAAATTGCTCCCCCAGCCTCTGAGTGCTGTAGGATCCACACCCCATGGCAGCGGTGCTGGGATTCAGGTTCCTAAAGCCTCCATGGACTTACTGCCAGTGCAGCCCCACTGAGGCCCCTTGCATGCAGCCAGCTCCATGCACCAGTTTACAGGCTTTGAGGGATTCATGCACAGCCGTTTACTAGTGCAAGGATCTGCACTTCCTGCCTTTAGGTGCAGTAGGCTGAGGTAGCAAAGTCTCTTGGGTCCATGGCAGGCTGCATATGTACAGGATTGGCCATTTGCTAAAACACACACTTGTGGTGTAGGGACCTAGGATCTTATGGTCTAAAAACAAAGGCCTCTGCCAGTAGGGTTGCCAGATGTCCTTTTTTTTTTTTTTACTGGCACACCCACTTGAAAGAGGACCCTGGTGGCTCCGGTCAGCACTGCTGACTGGGCTGCTAAAAGTCTGGTTGGTGCAGGGCTGGCAGGCTCCCTGCCTGGCTTCACGCAGCTCCCCCGAAGCAGCTGGCATATCCCTCAGGCTCCTAGATGTAGGGGTGGCCAGGGAGGCTCTGCATGCTGTCCCAGCCCTGAGTGCTGCCTCTGCAGCTCCCATTGGCCGGGAGTTGCGGAGGGGGCGGTTTTGCATTTTTGAAAAGGTGATCACCTTAATTAAGTGTCCACTTTGCTGGAAAACCACTATAGGATGAACATAATCACAAGCTCTTGGGCATTTCTGAGCCTATGCAGTAGGTGCAGTGGTGTGAATGAGACCGAACACAAGACACCCCCATCCCTAGCTGCAACGCCCCATGGTCCCTACTGTACCTCCGGATGGAATGCGTGGCAGGTATCTGGCCGCCGTCTCACTTTCTGGGAGCGCATCCTGTCGCACTTCACCGAAGCGTTATGTTTATTGCCATTAAGACCAACAGTAGCATTTAGAACGGGACAAAAGCAGCACAGACAAAAGACTGTGAGGTCCCTCACACAGCCGCGTGAGGCTATGACTGAATCTTAGAGCTGAGTCCAAGGGCCCTAGGAATTCAGACGGAGAGAGGATAAGACGGGATAGAAACAAACTCACAATGTGGGAGGACTAGTCTCCAAGGCTGTATAAAGAAATAAGCTGTGGTATGGAAGAAAAAGACTGTAAAAAGAAAGCACAGCTTGTCTCTGTGCTGGGGAGGGAGTGCACAGAACAGAGGCTGGGGAGAAGGCAGAAATGCTTAGCTACTTTACCTCATGGGGTGACAGGATAATAGGGACCGAAAGCTTAATGTGACCAGTTAATAAGGAAGGGGCATGATCCTGCAGGACTGAATTAAAGAAACACCTGCTGTAGGTGACTTACCTGAACTCAGAATAACTGGGCCACTGTTCTCAGACGTCTGTTCTCCCACCACAATCATGTCTGTCTCTTTCCTCCCCCTATTATCCTAACCCTTTGGTTCTTCCCCCACCTCTACCATGACTATTCTTTAACATCACAAATCATGCCAACTAGTCATTACTTTTCCTATTCAGCTGTATTTGAGCCTGATGAGGGAGCTAGCGGGTGATACCAGGCACAGAGTTAACTGGTCTCTATGGAAGTGTCTGACACGTTCGTAGCTTCTATGCCCTCCCCAGCACTCTCAGGGGCTAGCAATTGGAAAGTCATGCTTCCATTCACTGAGGTTCCCAGAGATCTTTGTTAAAAATTTTTGTATATTCTGTAGCAGAGGGCGGCAGGATAATTTTGTGGTTAAAGCATTGCCTTGGGGCAGGGTGATAAAATTTTGACTCCTGCCTCAACCACAGGCTTCCTGTGTGAGTGTGGGCAAATCAGTGTTTTTGTCCCTCAGTTTCCCCAGTGTGGATAACAATACTTCCCTGCCTCTCAGAGGTGCTGGGCCACTTTAGTCTGTTAGTGTTTGTGAGCCATTTTGAGGTCATCTGCTAGTGCTGTATAAAAACAAAGCATTACAGCTGTTCTCCCTGTGTTTCAGAAGTTCCCAGATTAGGTTTTTTCTAGTGTATTTAAATAAGCTGCTGACCCTAGAAGGGCTGGTGGATCAGTGAGTGCATTCCCTAGAATCCCAGCATAGTCTGCAAAATGCCCTCCCTCTGTAGCTTATACAAATAGGTAATAGCCAATTGAGGCCAGTTCACAAGGGGAGAGTTGGGTCCAGCTTCTGCTTGAAGGGTAAGTAACAGGTTATTTATAAGGGGCAGTAACAGAATGGGACGGACTTTTGTATTTTAACAAGTTACAGCTCAGTCATGAGTCCTCATGTATGTGCAGGGAAGTGAGGGTGTGTGAGGATCCACGTATACCCCTGCTTGGGCTACTCCACAGTGCTGGAGTCCCCACTGAGCTGCTGCTCCCTTCCCACGTGGGTATGTGGGGCAGGGAGCAAGCATAGATATCTATACAGGAGCCCCTGCATTGCAGTGAATGGTTGGCACAGCACTCTGCTCATCACAATGGAGGCCACTTTTCAACACCAGGCTCTAAATGGGGTTAGATTTCTTGGGTGGCTAAAAGGGAAGATTTTCATTTCCAATCACATCTCTAACTTGCCTGCTCTATCTCCCTGCTCCCTCCACCATGCCTGCCTGTTGTACCCACACTCGCATCCTGCTGCATCACAAATGGAGCATACCTCTCTGCCCTTTCCTCTTTTCTCCTCCCCCATGCTATTTGCTACAGGAACCGATCTTCCACCCCCCGACTAATTGGTGCAGTGGGAGAACAGCAGAAAGGGCTGCAGAGTCTAACACACTGTGACAGAAGGATATATTTGACTTCTTTCACTTCCAGGAGGACAGGTGGGAAGATGCTGCAGTCACAGGCAGCATCTGTAACCAGGAGCAGGAGGTTACTGTTGGCAATCTGCTGTGCTACAAACATCCTGTAGGAGGGAGAGAGAGAAACTATAAGCCCACCCACCCCAATGCAGGCGATTAGAATAAAAGATAGGGAAACTGCAGCACCTGCTGATGATGTCCATGGGCAAGGAATACAAGGAGAAGAGAGAATGGGAAAGAGACAGCAGGAGGGAAAGGACAGGGAAGGGAGAGGAACAGTGAACAGAGAGAATGCGGGGCAAGGAGAGGTGAGGTTCAGTTGATGAAATTAAGGTACCTTTTTATGCCAAACCTATTTGAATTTAAAAAAATCCAAACTAGACAAATACACACACATTTGTGTGTGTTATATATTGTCCTATAAAGGTAAGAATTTGCTTAGGTTGCAGAAACTTGGTTGAGAAAAATAGAAACACCATAATACAAAACAGCACATTCACATAATGTGGCTGCGTGATGTTTTGTGCCATTAGAATCTGAAGCGTCACTTTGTAATTACAAGTGTCCCCACCCCATTTTATAGCTGCGTATAAGTGTAGTCAGAAAACTATCTGCATGATGCTGTAGCTATGTATGGGTGAGACACAACCTTATACATCCTTACTGTACATAGCCAGTAGTACTCACCATCCCTCGGTGAGTCCTCAGGCTTTACACCTCCTAGCCCTTTCTCTAATGCACACTCCTGGTGTGGGAACAACTCTGAACATTCCCTGCAATCCCAGCCCCACACCTGGGTGCAACAAACTCCTGTATTTTGCTAGGTTATGTATGACTGGAGCTGGGTGAAATTCTTTTGATGAATAGATTTTTTTTCATTGAAAAATGCATTTTTGGTGCTCTGAATCTATTTATGAATTTTTGAGAAAAGCTGCATTCAACCCCCCCCCCCCCCGCCCAAAATATTCAACGCGTTTTATGTCAAATTTTTGTTTTGAAGACTTTTGCCTTTTTGTTTCATAACATTTCAGATGCAGATTTGCCAATATCTTTATTTAAAAACCACCCCCCCAAACATGGGGAGATGTAATAAACACCCAAAACGGGCTACACCAAACAGAAAAACTGAAAAACTTCATTTAAAATTGACCGAAAATATTTTGTTTGATTTGAAACAAATTTTTAATTTTTTTCAAGTTTGACAAAAAAAAATTTTTTTTAAATGGTTTTGGTTAGAATCCAGCAGATTTTTCAGTTCAGTTCCTAACCTCCCCCCCGCCCTCCCCTTCTTTCAGCTCTGGTGATGACACCCAAATGCAGTGTGCCTAAAACAGGGGTCGGCAACCTATGGCACGTGTGCCAAAGACTGCACGCGAGCTCATTTTTAATGCTGGGGCAGCAGCAGCGTGCTATTAAAAATCCTGCCCCGCCCGGCCCGCTCTTCTCTACCTCCCACCCCCTCCCACGGGGGCAGGGGGCAGAAGCTTGGTCCTGCCGGCTCCCCTGCCTCTTCCCGCCCTGTGCTGGGTTTCTGCCCCTCCTCCTCCTCCTCTCAGTCCCTCCATGCCAGCAGATCAGCTGATGGCCCTTGCAAAGGGGTGGGGGAGTAGCGGGGTCAGTGTGCTCGCTGCTCCCAGCGGAGGCAGAGAAGAAGCGGGGGCAGGGCCTTGGAGAAGGGGGTGGTGGAAGCGGGGCATACCCCCTCCAGTCCCCTGCCATGAGCACCCCACGACCCCAGCCCACACCCCCAGCCCTCTGCCCTGAGCCCTGTAGCCCCGTCACACACACCCAGCCCTCTGCTTGACTCCTTCACGCCCCCCCCACGACCCCAGCCCTGACTCTGGCACCCCCCCCACATACCCAGGCCCCCCACACCCCATGCCCTGACACCTGCACCCCCTCACAGGCCCCCAGCCCTGACTCTTGCACCCCCCACATCCTGATTCTTGCACCCCCCACCCTGAGCACCAAACAGGAGCTCCTGCACCCCCTCCCCACCCACATTCCCACCTGCACCCCTCCCACCAAATGGGAGCTGCCCAGGTAAGCTCTCCACACCCAAACCTCCTGCCCCAACCCTGAGCCCCCTCCCTCATTCTAGCTCCTGGCCCGACCCTGTACCCCAACCCCCAGCCTGCTCTTTCACCCCCGGCCCTGTGCTCAGCGCACTCCCACCCTCATCTCAGTGCAGAGAGAGAGGAAGAGAATAGCCAGAACCAGGGAGAAGGTAGGTACCCACTGTATGTACGCAGGGTCGGGACCCCAGACCAGCAGCAGGCTGAGCAGGTCTAGCAGCCGCGATCCCAGCTGGCAGGAGCTGGCGGATGGAACCCCTGAGCGGCAGCGGGCTGAGCCAGCCGGCAGCATAAGATCAACATTTTAATTTAATTTTAAATGAAGCTTCTTAAACATTTTGAAAACCTTGTTTATTTTACATACCACAATAGTTTAGTTATATAATATATAGACTTTTAGAGAGGGAGAGAGAGACCTTCTAAAAATATTAAAATGTATTACGGGCACGTGAAACCTTAAATTAAAGTGAATAAATGAAGACTCAGCACACCACTTTTGAAAGGTTGCGGACCCCTGATCTACAAAGTCAGCTAAAACAAGTGTGAACTGCAGTGCTCTACTGCCCTCTGCTGGGATTTTGAGGGGAATGGGTATTCTGTAATCTGTAAACGTTGAACGGAAGAAGGTGCTGTGTAGCATTGTGTAGCGATGATGGCAAAGTAAGAATGTCTGCATTTTTTCATCCTTGGAAGCAAGCTCCCCACAGACCAGGACACACCAACTCAAAGCAGCACCAGGCCCTACCAGAACAACATGTAAAACCTACAGACATATTTCCACTTCTACAATGATCAACACAACACACCTTTCACAATCCATGGATCCTCCGCATGCCTATCACAACACGTGGTGTACCTCATCCAGTGCACTAAATGCCCCAGTAACAACTACGTGCGTGAAACCAGATAATCACGACACTTTTGACTGAATTCACTCAGGAAAACAATATAAGACAAAAACACCCTATCACCTGTAGGTGAACGCTTCACAGAGCGATCACTCTAAGTCCCCATCCTCAACAGAAACCTTCACAACACTTTCAAAAGCTGAGCCTGGGAGCTTAAATTCATAACTCTATTAAACATTAAAAATCACGGCGTGAACAGACACTGGATTTATGGCTTATTACAACCATCTGTAATTGTCTAACCCCCCTCTTTTTGTCCTATGACTGCAGAGGTATGAATGGGCCACTCTACCTTGAATAGGAGGACTTGTGGCACCTTACAGACTAACCAATTTATTTGAGCATAAGCTTTCGTGAGCTACAGCTCACTTCATGCATCCGATGAAGTGAGCTGTAGCTCACGAAAGCTCATGCTCAAATAAATTGGTTAGTCTCTAAGGTGCCACAAGTACTCCTTTTCTTTTTGCGAATACAGACTAACACGGCTGCTACTCTGAAATCTACCTTGAATGGTCCCTTAGAGTATGTGCTAACTACTTCAGCTAAACAATCTGTCCCACATTGCCTTGTGCTATGATGCTCTAAGTGCCTTTCCCAGACCTGAAGACGAGCTCTGCGTGGCGCGAAAGCTTGTCTCTCTCAGCAACAGAAGTTGGGCCAATAAAAGATATTACCTCCCCCACCTTGCAGTTTCTGTGGGCAGCTTCTAATGTACGTGTAGGCGGCTGGGTGAGTGTAAGGGAGAATCAGAATGCAGCACCCATGCTGCCTTATGCTCCTGTGCAGGCAGGGGTGAAAGCGAGTCGGTACGGGCCGCTACCTCCTGCAGGTAAGAACCCGCCCCGGCCCATACCCAGCCCACAGTAAAGCGCTGCCACACCAGTGTTTTAACGTCTCTGCTTCTCTTGCCTCCCCTGTCGCTGCCCCTTCCCCCTGTCGGCGGCCCTGCCGTAGGGTCCGTACCAGCAGGGCCGTTGACGGGGGGGCAAAAGGGGCAGTGCTTTAATGTTAAAGCGCTCCCGCGGCAAAGGACCCTGCAGCGCTTTAACGTCCCTGCCCCTTTTGCCCCCCGCCCCGGCTGCTGATGGGCGGGGAGGGGAGGGAGGGGCGGACAAAGGGAGCAGCTGCCCTGGGGCCGGCGATTTAAAAGGGCCCAGGGCTCCAGATGCTGCTGCTGCTACTGCAGCAGCGGCGTCTGGAGCCCCGGGCCCTTTAAATCAACATGGGAGCCCTGGGTGGCATAGGCCAGGCGGTCTGGAAGGGCTGGCTGGGGGATGCTGACCCCCAGCCCCGCCCCTTCCACCAGGGGCCGTGCCCCTTCTGGGGGCCGGAGCCGCCCCGCGCTGTACCAGTAAGTGGCCTCAGTTACTTTCACCCCTGTGTGCAGGCTACCTGGCCCTTGGGTCCAGAAAGCTCACACTCGCCGCTTTTATACCTACCCTCAGTAGAGCTGTGCTGGGGATGATAGCTTGATTTGTTACTGGCAGGAGGAAGCAGAAGCTGGGGAAGGGAATAGTGACCTATCCTCAATTCCTAGTGGCGAACTTACAATTTACCTCTAAAAGTTCATTCTAATAAACATAGCTCCACTCTAGCCCCATATGTACTTCCCAGTCTGCACAATTCAGAGGTTCATAGACTGTAAGGGACTATTAGATCATCTAGTCTGCCCCTCCTATATATCACAGCCCTTTAAATTTCACCCAGAAACCCCTGTATTGAGCCCAATAACTGGTGGTATGTTTGGCTAAAGCACATCTTCCAGAAAGGCATCCAGTCTTGCTATGAGGACATCAAGAGCTGGAAAATCCATTCACTTCTCTTGATAGTTTGTTCCAAGAGCTAATCACCCACACTATCAAAAATACCTGCCTTATTTCTAATCTGAACTTGTTTGGCCACAGCTTCCACTCTTTGGTTCTTAATTTTATTATGCCTTTCTCCACTAAAGAACCCTATCGTTAGTACCCACTATTTTCTCCCCATAAAGGTTCTTGTATTCTGTAATCAGATCACCTCTCACTCTTCTTTTTGAGAATCTAAACAGCTAGAGCTCTTTACAGCGCTCACTGTAAGGCATTTTCTCCAGCCCTTGAATAATTTTGGTGGCTCGTTTCTACATCATCTCAAACTATGCAAACTACTTTTCAAAGGACGCCAGACCTGTACACAGTATTTTAGTATCAGTCTGACTAATGCAGTATACAGAGGTAAAAATCACCTCTCTACTCCTCCTCCTCACTACTCCCCTGTTTGTACATCCAAGGCTCACATTAGCCCTTTTCCGCACAGGATTGCGTTGGGAGTTCCCCTTTAGTTGCTTGTCCACTGGGACTCCCTAAACTTTTTCAGTCACTGCTTTCTAGCATATAGTCCAATCTGTAGTCATGGCCTGTATGACTTGGCCCTAGATATACAACTTTGCATTTGTCCATATTAAAAAGCCTCTTGTTTGAATGGGCCCAGGTTACCAAGTAGTCCAGATGGCTCTGCATGACTGCACTGTCTTATCGTTATTTGCCAGTCTGGGTCACCTGCAAGTTTCATCAGCAGTGATTTTATATTTACTTCCAGATCATTGATTAAAAATGGTGAATAGCATTGGGTCTAGCATTGATCCCTGTGGAACCTCACAAGAAACACCACCCTCCCCCTTTCTTTGATGATTCCCCCATTTAGGGTTACTTTTTGATATCTTTCAGAGTAGCAGCCGTGTTAGTCTGTATCCGAAAAAAGAAAAGGAGGACTTGTGGCACCTTAGAGACTAACAAATTTATTTGAGCATAAGCTTTCGTGCATCCGATGAAGTGAGCTGTAGCTTACAAAAGCTTATGCTCAAATAAATTTGTTAGTCTCTAAGGTGCCACAAGTACTCCTTTTCTTTTTGAGATCTGTCAGTTAGCCACTTCTTAATCCATTTAATATGTGCTCTATCGATACTGTATAGAGCTAATTTTTAAATCAGAATGTCATGTGATACTAAGTCAAATGTCTTGCAAAAGTCTACTACATCTACGCAGTGACCGTTATCAACCAAACTTGTAGTCTCCTCAAAGAATTAAATCAGGTTTCAACCATGTTAACTAGCATTAATTATATACATGGTGTTCTTTATCAACAGAATCCCATGACAGTTTTTCCATTGTTTTGCCTGGGACTGATATCAGGCTAACTGGTCTATAGTTACCCAGAGCATCTGTTAGATTTGTTTAGAGTCCACACTTGGGTTCTGTGAAAAATTAGATTTTTGCAAAGCCTAAAATCAAGAGAAGTGTTAAAAAATGGATTTAAATATCTCCCTGCAGTGTGTGGGTGGCAAAGACTGCAGCATTAGGCTAGTGCTTGGCAACCCGAAAGGCAAGCTGACTATAAATGAAAATGTGAAACTCACCAGCATAAAGGGTAAAAAATAATCTAATTTTATCATTTTCAGCTTTAATAATGTAAGGGTTATTAAGAGCTGATCACATTTTAGTTGTTGAAAAATGACTTATTCAAAATCAGAAACTTTCACAATTTTTTTTTAATTTTCCATGTTTTTTGATGAAGTTGGAAAGCAAGAAATTTACCCACTTTTTGCCTTTTTTGGTTTATAATTTTTCCTTTATTTCTTCTCTTTTTCCCTGCCCCCTTTTTTCTGTGGAAAAATGGAAGGGGGGGGGGGAACAAATGAAAATAGGGAGAAAAAGGAAAACTAAAAACTATTGAAAATAAATGCTTTCTAAACAGAAAATGTTTGAAAAAATTTTTGAATAAACAAAAAATTGTTCCTCTCTTTAATCTGTGGAATGAAAATGACTGACTGATTTTTGTGTGTGCATTTTTGCCTATTTCCCAACCAGCTCTTGGTATTAATAGGAGATTCTGTTTTCGTGTTTTATTTTAAAACCAGGGGTTCTGACAGATTTCTCTGTCTACCTCTGCTGATACACAGTGTGACCAGGGAGTTCCATTGATTGTGTGAGTAGGGTGACCAGACAGCAAATGTGAAAAATTGGGACGGGGTGGGGGGGTAATCGGAGCCTATATAAGAAAAAGACCCCAAAATCGGGACTGTCCCTATAAAATTGGGACATCTGGTCACCCTGCGTGTGAGGTGCTTTAAAAATGCTGGCGACAAACAGGCACAGTGTATCAGGGGATTGTTCTAGAATATTGTCATTCTCTTTCAGTGAGTTTCAGGTGGTATCAATGAGCTGGGATGAACCAGAGGAAGGAATGGAGGTCTACAGGTAAAGTCCTGAAATAAAAGGGGAGACTTATTTCTTACTTTTGACAGTCTCCGCACTCTATCAGCCCATTGGTTTCTTTGATGGTGCTCTCGTACACGAAGACAGGGTATTCTGTGTCGCATGGCTGTAGCATATCATGTTTCTTATGCTTGTGAGCTGCAATGGCAAAAAGAGATGAAGTCAGAAATGAGGACTGGGGAACGGAGAGACTGAGGGCTGGTCTACATTACCATGGTAAATCGATCAAACTTACGCAACTTCAGTTACGTTATTCACGTAACTGAAGTCAATGTAGTTAAATCCATTACTGCGGTGGCTATACTGTGCTATGTTGACGGGAGAGCATCTCCCATTGACTTCCTTTACGCTTCTCGGGGAGGTGGAGTACACAAATCAATGGAAGAGTGCTCTCCCACAGTTTAGCCTGTCTTCACCAGACCTGCTAAATTGACACTCACTGCATCGATTGCAGCAATGCCAATCTACCGATAAGTGTAGACCTGCCCAGAGAAATGGATTGAAAGAAAAATGTGGACGGTGCCAAAAAAAAGGCAAAGTTGCTGACAAAAATGAAGTGTAGTGATACTTAAAGCCACTAGGTGGTGCAGAAAAACCAGTGTAGCAGGAGAAATGTTTGAGGTATTACTCTATGGTTACATTGATAAAGTAATACTAGGCCTTATCACACACTGTTTTTAACTGTACTCATATAGTTCAAGTGGTAGAACTCCCCTACCATGGATGCTCTTATAGCAGTACCTTATATCAGTACAGCTATTCCCATAGTGAACGAGAACAAGCTATACCAGTATAAGGTACTTTTAGACTGGTTCAACTGAGTCCCCAGTTGGGGGGTGTATTGATTTAACTATTTTGGCATTACCATAGCACTATTAGTGAGGCGGAGTTAAGACAAGATGTTGTGGAAGAAAAACCTATGTTGCCTGTTAATATTTGAAGTATATAAAACAGTGTGGTTTATTTCATATGAAGGAGTGGCTTATCATTTGTTCATTTCCTGCATAGCTCCTGGAAAGAGAGACATAGTGACAGCTTGGTCTCCAAGTGCCCTACAAGGTCTAGTTAGTCAAAGGCCCCTTCTTACTTGCTGATATTAGAAGAGGCCACGGATCCATCTGTATTGTAGTAATAATTGGCTAGGCTTTGTCTGGTCAGCCAATAACTAAAGAGATTAGTATTTTCCTCCATTTATTGACTTCTCAGAGACCTAGTCCATATTGGCAGCTCAACAAATGGAACAAATAACAACACCTCTATCCCCATCCATCGGCAGTGCAAAGACCTGCTGTTAGGCACCACAGCCTCCATTGCTCTGAAACCTCACTGCAAATTCAGGACCGTTGCAGGAAAAAACCCAAGAGGATTGATTTGCTTGCCCCTTCCCATCTTAAGGCTTCTGACTAAATGCTTTGTGAACCTCCCCTTTCCATTCCTAGGAAACTCAAATTGTTCAGTCTACTTACAATGATGGAAGACGGACTTGGCTATCCGAGTCACATAATGAAGATGGGTTCACATGACAGTCACACAAGATGGCAGCACAGTGAATGTATGAAGTCACATGGGGAGGTCATGGATGGAGCGAGGGGAAAATGAAAGAAAGCAGAGAAGGAAGTGATGATGAATAGTACAGGAATCAGACCCTATGAATAACTAGTGAGGATTTCATATTACAATACAGCCTAATTCATACGGATCCTTCCAGCTCCTAATGAGGCATTGTGCTCAACTATTGTGCAATGTTCTGTTTTCGTTGTCTTGACTGATAGATACAGATATAGAAGGTAGTAGGAAATGACAAATTATAGGTTTTTAAAACCATCCTGTATCATTTAATGGAGAACTATATGTTGGCTACAGAATTCCATAGAACCTGAGGGAGTCTTTCAACCGAATATTCACCACCGCTGACTTTTATATATTCAGTTGGTCCAATGTGGGGAAAACTTATCGGGATGCCAGGGGAGAAGAAACCATTCTACCGCTTCATGTGATATTAAGCTGCTGTAAAGTCACCATAGCCCCAGGCACTGGGACACTGAGTCACGAACTTCATTCTGAGTGCTTTTCAGCTTTGGAGCTTCAGCAGGTCTTGAACATGGTGGTAATAGGACCCGGAGACTAAATTCCTGGTGCCCATGTGCGAGTGTTGCCTTGGCACTGTGCAAAATTTCTCTGTGTAACTCCTTCCTCCAGTGGTGCTGTAACATTTGTGTGCTGTGGGGTAGCTGTATTCCTGCATACTTACCATCTGCCAAGTTGTCTGAGGGCCAGAAGTCACAAATATTGAACTCCAAAAGAAATCTGACAAAAGAGCAAGAAGAGAGGACATTTTACACTAGTCCAGAAGGATACAGGTGTCACAGAGATGGCCTAGTGGACTGCCAGGGCCTAAAGAGCCCAAGTCCTAAAATGTGCAATGTGAATTTTCTTGCAGCAGAAGCCTGAGACCTTTTTCACCCTTTCAGCACATCCCTTGGGCTCTCTGATTTGCTCTGTTCATTCTGGAATGGCTAATTGTGCCTTATTTCCAAAGGACAGTGTAGGCTGCCTCGCACCCAGTGCACTCATTAGCTCTGTGGCCTTTGAGGCTGAGAAATTATTCAAGCATCTTGAGAACCAGCTGTGGAGTAAGGATTGATCAGTGTGACAGAAGCAGGTACTATGCAAACACAGCGACAGCTGCAGTGTGTGCCTGGTGAACTAATCTGTACTAAAGATGGGCTCAAGCCTTGGACTCTGGATCTTTTCCAAACTGCAAGGATGTTTTAGATTCGGTGCTTCAGTTTGGGTCCAATGTAAAGACTGACTGAAGCTGCAACATTTGGACCCAGATGTAGATCTGAACTTCCTCAATCTGAGGGGAAGCTGACTCCCGTGCTCCTGTTTAAACTTCTCTTCTCTCCTCTCCCCTCCTCCCCCACCCCCCGCACCATGCACAGGAAATATAGGGTATAGTCTCCAGAATGTCACTAGGATCCTTATTTGAACAGACTCATTTCTTCTTTCTTTATCTCTTTTCAACTGAACAATTGCTCTCAACTGATTTTAGTCAAATCTGAAAAGGAAGGATGGTCTAGTGGTTAAAGGAACTGCATTAGGAGTTGGGAGAGCTAGGTGATATTTCTGGTTCTGCCACAGACTTTGCACTCTGACGACCTTGGGCAAATCACATGACCACTCGGTGCCTCTGCTTCCCAATCTGCAAAATGGGAATATTAGTACTTCTGTATCTCACAGGGCTGTGGTGAGGTGCTCAGGTACTATGGTGATGAATGCCACAGAAATGCCTATGCAGTAGAACCTCAAAGTTACGAACACCAGAGTTATGAACTGACCAGTCAACCCCACACCTCATTTGGAATTGGAAGTATGCAATCAGGCAGCAGCAGGAGGGAAGGAAAAGAAAAAAAGCAAACACAGTACAGTTCTGTGTTAAATGTAAACTACTAAAAAAATAAAGGGAAAGCAGCATTTTTCTTCTGCATAGTAAAGTTTCAAAGCTGTATTAAGTCAATGTTCAGTTGCAAACTTTTGAAAGAGCAGCCATAATGTTTTGTTCAGAGTTACAAACAACTTCCATTCCCAAGATGTTTGTAACTCTGAGGTTCGACTGTAGTCATGTCGTAACAAGGAGCCTGTGCTTGAATTTGTTAGATCTATCTCCTGTTGGTGTGATCCTCCCAAACTGATGTACTCACATGAGGAAATCACTTATCAGCCACTTCAATACAGCGAAAAAGGTATAAATGGGCTGGAGAAAAAGAAAAAAGAGAAATACCATAAAGATCTGCTCACAGAAAAGACAGTTGTCCTGCAGGACTCAATATTTCATCTAGGTTCTCTCTACCAAGCAAACTCTTGGAAATGGGCTAGAATTTAAGCTCTTGGAATCAATGGGAAATTTGCAAAATGCATCAAAAGCCAGTGGAGTCTCCTTGCTACCAATAGTATCTCCACGCTTCCACTTACATTGGGTCAGAGAGTTTATTCCAAATGTGCATGGGACTTTGAAGATGTAATTACTTGGTGATTTTCCACTGGTATGGGTGACCTCTGAGAGCACAGAGCAAGGAAGGAAATAAACCAACTAAATGGGACAATGCCGGTTTAAAATGCTGTTATCATCTGATGGTAAGTGGTACTTTTGGTACAAGCTGTGGCATTAGCAGCCTTGCACTAAAGTTAGTATTGTCTGCTTTTGATAACACAGCATATTTACCCCATATCCATCCAGGCTTTTTTAAAGTGGATTGCCTACTGCCCAATCTACCTACCTTTTTAGGTAGTTCCTGGCCTACATGCTATTCTCAGAACGTTTAGCTTTGGTCCCTCTATTCCATGTCTTCATCTCTTCCATGGTAGTCTGAATGCCTCTTCCTAGAGGACTTTCTCCTGATGCTGACATTGCAATGGCCAGTCAATTCCTCCACTTTCATCTACAGATTGTAACCTAAGAAAAGCCTGGCACTGTACTGGTGACAGTTCATTGCATAGATTTCTGTGGTTCCCTATATGCCTGATAGGCATGATGGGCCAATTTCAGACTGCATGTAAATGGCCGAAGGAAATGGAGTTGCACTGTCCTATGTCAGGTTTGAATTTCCTATTACTTGAGAACAAACAACTGCTTATCTCTTAACAGGAATATGTTTCAAGACATTAGAGAAGTTCTGGACCAAACTACTGATGAGCATTCATGCAATGGGCTGACTATAGGGAGATACGTACACTGAGCAGAGGCCGGGCACCGCTGTGATGATGGTAGGGCGTTTTACACATGGCCTGATAGTCGTACATCGTCACCCTATAAAATCAAAGCAAAAAAGCAAACAAACAGTCAAAAGCAAGAAGTGCGACCATCCATGAGATGGTCACTCAAGTGTGAGCTACTTTTTTTCCTACTCAGGCTATATCCTGGATATATTTTTGTACATAAGAATTGCCATGCTTGACTAGACTGATGGTCTATCTAGTTCACTATCCTGTCTGTGGCTAATGCTGGATGCTGCCGAGAGAGGTGTTGTAGCTGTTGTAACTTTTATGTTGAAATGTTCCCAATTAATATGAAGCTGTTAAAGAAAAGGGTGCAATAAAACACAACTTAGTTTTCAGATTAGAGCCCCTAGTCGGTTACAGACAATCTATTTAGCAAAGGACCACTAGGCGACACAGTGAATGATACACTGAACTTGATTCAAAAGAAAAATGATTAGTTAAGCAAACAGGCATGCAATTACTACTTACACAATACTACAGTTATACTTATACTTGACGGTGAAAGTCTGTCAATGGGTGATTAGTCCACTGACAACAGAGTAAAGTACAGTTTTATAAGCTTGGAACCTAACGGTACTTTTTTGATATTGATTGGAAGTCTCCTCAATTTTAACAAAACTACTTTTTTATAACTATTATAAGAATAATTAACATTAAACCCACTTATTACGATATTCACATTTTTGTCATCTTTTTATTGGTTTTTTACATTGCACATCATTTAAATTGACATCTATAACAATATATTTTCATGCTATTAATAGAGATAACATTTTAATAAAACATTTATCATTTTTAAAACCACAGTAAAACACTGCTAAAACTAGTTCTAAGCAAAACATAGGAAGGACATGAGCAAAGTTACATTGTAGCCAACTTCAATTTTTCTATCTTACTGTTTTCAACTTCTCTCTAACTTTTCTTACACTAGCAACTTTAATTTCTCCATACTCTTCTACACTTAGGCCAAAACCTATTTTTTACTTAACACAGGCTACACTGTGCAATACTATACCAAAGGAGGAAATTTCTTCCTGAATTCAGATGGTGACCATTGTATGTCGTCCAGCAGGAGGATTATAATTTATCTACCTGAGTAACCCAGATGCCATTTTTAATCCATCTAAATGTTTAATTTGTTTCTGAACTTACTAAAGAATTAGTGTGCATGCAACTAAACCAGTGAAGGACATTCAAAGGGAAAACATTTTCAACCAACTCTATTGCAGCTACTGGGGAGGTCTCTGGCAGCCAGCCAATCATTTAAAGTCTTTCAAGGCCTGATGAGAAACTGAAAAGCTTTCAACCAAAAGCAGACACACACACCACCTTCTAACATATGGGACTAAGACATAGGTGCAGTTCCCATAGTGCAAGACTGGGGCAGTTTGGGATTTAGTTGATCCCATAATGCTTTGCAGTAGCTGGATCCAGTAAGCAAGAGAAGCCTGTGTCACGGAGTGTGGGGGAGTCCGGGCCCCGCACCCCTCTTCCTGGGATTCACCATGACTCTCAGCCAGCCAGCAAAATGGAAGGTTTATTGGACAACAGGAACACAGTCTAAAACAGAGCTTGTGGGTACAACCAGGACCCCTCAGCCAAGTCCTTCTGGGGGGCAAGGAGCTTAGACCCCAGCCTTGGGGTTCCCTGCGTTCCACCTCCCACCACAAGACTGAAACCAAAACCCCTCTAGCAGGCTCTTGCCTTTGTCCAGTTTCCCGGGCAGAGGTGTTACCTTCCCCCTCCCCCTCCAGGCTCAGGTTACAGGCTCATCCGATGAAGTGAGCTGTGGCTCACGAAAGCTCATGCTCAAATAAATTGGTTAGTCTCTAAGGTGCCACAAGTACTCCTTTTCTTTTTGCGAATACAGACTAACACGGCTGTTCCTCTGAAACCTGTCAAATAAATTTGTTAGTCTCTAGGGTGCCACAAGTGCCACTCCTTTTCCATCCCCAATGAAACTCCCCTGCCACATTCCCAGGTCAACACTCCCCCCTCCCTGCTGCATCACAGCCTGGCAGGAGAAGGGAGAAAACAAGAAATGTGAGGATTCTGGTAAGGGGGAAGATGCTAGGTGAAGGAGAGTCTGTAGGAAAATTGACAGTAGGGAAATAATCGAACTTCCTGCCCCACCTCATGGTTTCCCTCATTGTCCTTAAAGTCAGCTATACCACTGTCACTGGGACAATACATTCCATCCCCACCTTTATCACCTTCTAACAGAAGAAAGGTACAGAGGAGATCTCCACTTACTGCCTGAACATTCCCATGTTTAGCAGTTGGGTCATTACTGAGCCGTCCACTTCACCAAAAAATTTTCCGGTCTGCACAGACAAAGTGATAAAAGGGGAGAGGGAAGAGAGAAATGTTAGTGATAAAGTTCCCAAGCTTTCTATTGGTGAAACCAATCCATTTGGTCTAGAAGCTGAAGGATATACTGCCTGGTGAATACTGTTAATAAACAACAAGCACCTTTAAAGAGGTATCACATAGCTCCAGCTTTTGATTGGCTGAGAAGTTTGAGGTGGGGGCCTGTATTCGCTTGTGAATATTTGTGACCTGTGCTCACAGGTTCTGAAAGCACGTGCCCCTCCTGCCTGAGCTAAAAGACCCAGCTATGTTAGCTCAAAATCTGTAGCGGACTCGTAAATCTCTGTGTGGTTCAGCGACTATAGGGGGGCAGAGAGCCAGAATGTGTATGTGCAGTTACATGTTTAGGAACCATAAGCAATTTTACAAATCACAGCCACACAGGTACCAAAGGTGCACTATTAACAAATACAAAAATGGCTGTATCACTTTTTTTGTTTAAGAGAGACATTGTGCAAAGATATAGTCAGGATTATCGATTGGGCAGGTTATTACAATATCAGAGGGTGAACATTTTTTATATACATCAATGTAGTTGCCTCTGGAGATTTTCTTGAATTCAACAACAATTCTGCCTTTACTTACTAACAAACCAGAGTAAGTCCACTATAGTTATGTTTAACATTTGTCAGAGCAATGGTTTGTTTTCAGGCAAGTGTGCTTTCTCTGAGGATGGGCTAGGGTAACTAAATAGTTATTTATTGGTCTTCTGTCCATTTTGCAGTGTACAGATCTGATGCGTTAATTTTTCCATAAGAATTATCTCTCAGATATTATGGAACCATTCTTCTAGTTTGGGCGAAAATTCCCTTTTCTAATGAGAAACTAGTTCAGCAGCCAATAGCAACTGAGAGATTAATTCTTCATTACTGTGAGTGTGACCATTTCCACTAGGAAGCCTCAGGAGGATTTACCAAAGAATCATTTGATAATAATCATCCAACATTAGTAATACTTGGTTAAAAATCTCCTCCCAACACTCTTAAAGAGCCAGACATTCCCACCACACATACATATGTGCAAAGTTACCTCGTCCCCGCGCAATTTGGATTTTAATCATCTCAGACTCAGTCAGAGGTGTCAGAGCAAGCTGCAGCTCTTTCACCTCACTGGCTCTTTCAATCTGATTATGGTGGTTATTGGTCCAGCTGCTTCATTTAGTACCATTCTGTAGCAGTAATGAGAGCCAGAACAGTTGGATTTAACACCTCATAATCTGCAGCTGGCATGGCAAGGTCAAAGGGCCATTGTTGGACTATGAATGTGGCCTGTCTAGTTCAGGAATATTGGGATGTCTTACTGAGTTCCTGCAATTCCTCCTGAGCACAGAGGGCCTGATTCTCATTTGCAGTGGCAATGTAAATGTTGAATGGATCCTTAGTATAAATGAGAATAAGGCCCAGAAAGTACATCCAGAAAACAGCAATGATCTGGTCTTTTGACCTACAGTACTAGATTTTCAAAGCTAGGTACTTTTATGTACTGTGTGCTTGATAACATGAGAGAACTCAATTTTTAGTAAACCCAAATGGCTCTTTACAATCTTTACACTCAAACTCTTTACAAAGCAACTCTTTACACTCATTAAAGCCCAACTCCTAAGCTTCTGCAGCTCTCAGCTTTCACTAAGCTGCTTGCTTCCTTTGGGAAGAGGTTACTGGACCGCTCCCTCCCCTCCAGCTCCCAAGGCATAGGGCGGCCTAGCTTGCATGATCCACTGTCTGTTCTTAAAACTATCTCCTATACTGTGGGTGGAATCCCTGTTATCAACATATGGATCAAAGCGAGGCTATATGCCCTGGACGGGGGCGGTGTCAGATCAAGGCAAAGGACAGCAGCAGGATGGAGTGAGAAGAGACATGGGGAAGAAGATCTTTCAGGTTCTGGAGTAGCTAAGGCCATTCAATCCCAGTTGCTCAAGTCATCACTGTAAGAACACACACACTTTGGCACGTTCCTCTATTTTTATCTTGAAATATATGCTGGGAAGTGTCACACTGTTGGCAGGTTCTGTTTGTTTTAAACAAGAAGCCGGTTCCTTGATTGCCTTTCTTTGGCCAAATGCAGGGAGAAATAGGAACGAGGGCCCACCACTGTTCATGCTAGAGCAGTAACAGTTTGTGCTGCCTTGAGGCACAGATGGGATGCGGGGAAAGCTTCCTCTTGAGACACACGGTACTGCATGACTCACTGGACTCTCCCGCATGGACTCATTCACGATCTGATGTGCTTCCTGGTTTGTTTTGCATGATAAGCACTGCAGGCAGAACTTCTGTCCTTCTCTCTTTTATATGCAGACATTGGCCTCTGTATTTAAATCGCATACACTTGCAAAACACTGGTATCAGCATCAGGTACTAGGCACATATAACCTAAATAGCTAACTCGGATAGGGAGGTGGCAAGCTGGCTGACTTGTTCCCTCAAGGAAATCCAGATTCAGAAACGCTCCCCTGTGTTAAGATGCCCCACATGTGGAGATCCAGGAAGCCTGCAGCGTGGTGAGTTGTCCTGTGTGGAGACCCAGGCTGGAAAAGGCTGCAGTGTGGTGAGATGTCCAGTGTGCAGACACAGACCAGGAAGGCTGCCCTACCCAGACCTCAGGCTCCCGATTTAGTAAATCTACTGCCTGTGTGTTCTACTGGAGGGGTAGCTGCCATTTGTTTGATGTCTGTCGCAGAGGAAAAGGCTGTAGGAATCCTATGTAGGATTCAACAATTTAGAGACCAATGGTAACAGGTGAAATAAAGAGCCAATCTAAATACAAATGAAACATGAACAAAAGAAAGTCACTGGCAAGCAGTGGACTGAGAAGGGAAATGATGAATTTCCTCAGCTCTGGGGAGTTAACAACTACAGTAGCTGACAGCACTGGAGCCTGCCAGAATGCCTGATCTCAGAGGTACGCGGATAATGCTTATAATTTATCCAAATCCATGATAATGACAGGTTTTCACTCGTCAGATCTTCCAGCGAACAGCTTTGCATAAACCCCACTTTCCATAAGACCCAGGGGCAATGCAGAGGTAGCACAAGAGGAATACAGGTGCCATGTGCCCAGAACTGACAGCAGTAATGGCATTAAGCAGTCTGCCATTGCCTTTGTTCATGGGGAAATGGCTTCAGGGATGTGACTTTTTTTTTTTAAGTATGTGAGGGTCAAGGTAAAGAAATAGTCGAACTTAGTCAAAAAAACACCCCAGACGTACAAACAGTAAGAACATAGCAACTTCTCTGCAAGAGCAGACCAGGGGTCCATTTATTCCTGTATCCTGTGGCTGACAGTGGAGACTTACAGAAAAATCTGCCCAAAGGGGAAGTTCATTTCCTAACCCACTCTCGGTGGCTGATTTATACCCCGAAGCGTAAGGGTTATATCCCTTCTCCATTTTTTAATCTGTCTAATGCAATTGTGGATGGTCTCATTAACCATCTAAATGACCATGCTGTTTTGAATTCTATTAAGTTCTTGACTCAGTGAAATTGTGTGGCAGTGAGTTCCACAGGTTATTGGAATATAATGAAACAAAGGTTTTCTTTTATAAATTTTTCTTTTTCTATTTCATTAACTGTCCATTATTTCTTGCATTATGAAGAAAAGTAAATAGGCGTAAATATTCATCTGCTCTCTACATTAAACCATCCTGATCTTTTCAGTGTTTCCTCTTGTGGAATTCTCCCCATGCCTCTAATAATTTTTTCAGCCATCTCTGAAGCCCCTCTAGTTCTGTTGCATCTTCTAGCAGAGGATGGCCAGAACTAAACACACCATTTCAGGTGAAGGCATATCAGTGACTCACCTAATGGCATTGCAATATTTGCAATATTTTTTTCTACTCCATTCTTTATGTATCGTAACATTTTGTTTGCTTTTTTGACATCATTGTACACTGAGCAGATGTTTATACTGAAATGTCCGTAGTGCTGCCCAGGTCGCATTTCTGAGAGTGAAATTAGAGCCCAGAAATGTATACGTGTAGTTCAAATTATTCCTTCGTATGTTCATTACCTTACAGCTGTCCATACTGAATTTCAACTGCCATTGTATTGCCTCTTTGCCTAGCTCCATTAAGATCTTTTGATGTTCTTTCCTAATCTTGATTTACCTAAATAATTTTATCTGCACCATTCACCATCTTGCTCTTTCCCTCTCTCCCTTTCCCAGATTATTGATAAATATGTTAAACAACACTAGTCTAACTATGGAACGTGGGGACACGCCATTGGTAACCTTTTCTATGTTGTAAATGGACTGTTTATTCCTATTCTTTGTTTTCTGTCTCCTAACTACTTTCTGGTCTAAGACAGTACTTTATTTCTAACCCTGTAACTACACAGTTTCTTTAGCAGCCCCTTGTGAGGGATTTTTGTCAAAAGCTTTTTGAAAGTTCCAATAAAGGTATAACTGGTTCTCCACTATGTACTATTTTGTGGACACTCGCAAAGAATTTTAAGAGGTTAGACAGAATTTCCTTTACAGAAGCTGTATTGTTTGTCATGTCCATTTGGGTGTTTTACAATTCTGTTTTTAAGTATCACTTCAACCAGTGTACCTGGTACTGAAGTAAGGCTGCAGTTATTCCCAGGATTACCCATTGCGTTTTTAAAAGACAGGTGCAGTATTTGCAACTCTCTGGTAATCTGGCATAGGGTGGATTTTAATGAAGTTGCATATTTTTGTTAGAAGGTTAAACATTTCATTCTCCGGCTTCTTTCTACACCATCTGGCCATGCTGACTTACTGCTCTTCAGTTTGAGTTTGTTCCTGCATCTCCTTTTTTGACATCGGAATCCCTGAGAGTGCCCCATCTTCATTATCTAAAAAGAGTAGGTTTGGGATATGTATCTCCCCAGCATCATCTCTAGTGAAGATAGACATAAAGAAATAATTTAGGGCCAGATTCTGTCAACCTTACCCATGCTGAGTAGCACATTACATCACAAACAGTCCCACTAAGCTCAGTGGCACTCTTGTGGAGTAAGATGATACTCATAATATGTAAGGGGATCAGAATTTGGACCTTAGTTTCACAACAATTTTCCTTACTTGCTGCCTTTAAACCCCAATAGTCCAGCAGACCTACAAATTCTCTTACAAAGTTTTCTCCTTCTAATTTACTTAAAGAATTAATTTGTTTCTGTCTTTGGCTTTTTGCTCTTCAAATTCCTCATTAATTTCTACCTGTGACAGTCTATACCACTATGGTCACCATTTTTACAAGACCAGGATGATTTTTGTACAAAGTATGCCTTGTAAGGTATCATTTGAAAACTCATAATCTGCTGAACATTAGTGTTCTGGTAAAATAAGTATATCATTATTGTATGTAAAGTTATAGGATTCTACTGTATCACATTGCTGTAAAATGCTATAAGTAAAGAAAAGCAGGCCCAAACCAATTGCTCAGGAACAAAGGACAGACCAATATCCAGTCTGGTGTTAAAGCGCTATCACGGTTTAAGCAGCCATTCTCCAACAACAGGAAGGTGTGAACGAGAAATTTACATTTCATCACAGGGACGGTTCAGAACTCACATACACAAGAGACTATTTGTCACCTGCACCCCCGCTGGATCAAAGAGGGGCAGTGATATAAAAATGAGAGCCAGTGGCCTCCAATTCACCTCTCTTCCTTCCATCTCTCTGCTCATGACATCAATGAATACCTGAAGGACACTGAACTAAGGGGAGGGGTCCCAGCCTGAAAGGAGACCCAGCCTGTGAAATTTACTGCAGCGTATGGCGAGGAAAACCTTTGCTTTGAATTTTGTTAGTTTAAGTTAACCATTAGCTTGTGTTTTACTTTTTTTTTTGTAACCAATCCTGACTTTTATGCATCATCACTTGTAATCCTTTAAAATCCATCTTTCTGTAGTTAATAAACTTATCTTTTTGTTTTATCTTAACTAGTGTACTTGGATTGAAGTGGGTGGGGAAACTCCATTTGGCCTAACAAGGCCTGTGCATATCATTTTCCTTTGATAAAATGGTGGACTTTCTATGCGCCTGCATTGTTCAGTAGTGTGCTGGACAGTACAAGATGCATAGTTCTAGGAGACAAGTCTGGGACTAGAGAACTTGCTGGTGTTGCTCTGCAGTTTAATTCAAAAGTGGCTAGTGAGTAGCGCTCAATACTTGGTAGCTGGGAGTGATTTTACATGCTAGAGGCTGATTTTACATGCTAGCAGGCCAGGAGTAGATGTTCTTACAGCAAAGCAGTGTAAGAGGCATCCCAGGTTGGAGAACTGAGGGGACACAGCTGTTCAACAGTCCAGACTGTACCCTGTACCCCGTCACACTACCGTATATTGTACCCGCAATAGTTTATGCTCCTTTCTATTGGCTTCACTTGAGCTGGATTTCCATTTTCTGAAGGACACTTGTTTGGCTTGAGAACCCAGCCATTTAACCATCCTGTTTCTTTTCTTGCCTTCCTGCTTCTGTTTTGGCTTATGGGAATGAATGCCCTTTATAACTCTTGTAGATTGCGTCAGTCACCTCCAGGGTCAGGGTAAGGATTTTAATTTCTTTACTTTTGACATAAACACCTTTTTGACTAGTTTCTTCGTTATCTTTAAAAATTCCCTTTCTGAAGTTCAGTGTCACAGGGCCTTCGGTACCTTCTCTCCCCAAACGATGTTGAGTTTAATTAATTATACTGTGGCTGCTCTTACTTAATGATTCAGCTAGAGTCATTTCTTCAACCAACTCCCAGAGACAGAATGATATCAACACTCTGCATTCTCTAGTACCCTTCCATCTGAGGGTCCCAATGCATTTCACAGGCACTTATGCATTCATTAATTAAGACTCACCATGCCCCCGAGGGGAGGGGCAGGTAATTATTGCTATTCCCATTTTATAGATGCAGAAACTGAGGCACTAGAGTGACTTGCTCAAGGCCATATACCAAATCAGTCCCACACCTGGGAACAGAACTAAGGTCTCCTGACTCGCAGCCCTAGGCTGTAACCTCCAGACCCCACTCACTTACCAATTGCTGGGGGAGGGTTTCAGCAGATTGGATGTAACACAGTGACGCCTCTTTGCTGAGCGCTGATATCTCCATCTCCTCCCGTCTGCCCCAAGCACCCCTCCCCAGTGGTTGTTTGATCTGATGCTTGGAAGGACAAGTGAGAAAGCAGGGGCCTATTCTGTGTCTCCAAACCCTCGCTCCCTTGTTCAAGACTGGTAGGGAGAATACTGTGCTGAATGCCCTGCTCTGCTGTGCGGGGGCCCTGATCCTGGGTCTGCATATTGAATAACTGAAGGCTGATGCATCTGAACTCTCCCCTCTATTGCATAAGCAGATCTGAGCCCTCTTACCTCTGTGGATCTCTTGGAAATGAATATAAACCCATTGTTATCAATGAGGAAGCAGTTCAGATTCTGCAGAGATAAAAGGAAAAGGAAGTGAAATTACAGATGGCACTTTGGTTATGGTTGGTTGTTTACCGTTACCAGTATATCAGGGGAGGTAGTATAGCCTAGTGGACAGAGCATTGTCCTGGGGCTCAGGATACCTGGGTCCTTCTATTCCCAGCTCTGCCATTAGCCTGATGTGTGACCCTGGGCAAGTCACTTCCCCTCTCTGTCTCCATTTCCCTTCCCACCCTGTGTCCGCTTTGCTTATAGTATTTAAAGTGTAGGCTCTTTGGGGCAGAGACTGTCTTTTACTCTGTCTGTGTGGGGTGCTACTGTAACATAAATAGTATTTAAGAAAACACTACACACTGTTGGAAAAGGAAGGGAGTTCAGACAGCACTCTTGTTAATACAATAGTAATAATACCCTGCATTTATCTAGTGCTTTCCACCTGCAGATGTTAATGTGCTTTATGAACAATAGTGAGCTAACCCTTGTTACGATCTCCATTTCACAGATGGGGAAACAGAGCACAAAGGATAAATAATTCTCCTACGGTCACACAGTGAGTCAGTGGCAGAATGAAGAAGAGAACCTGGGACTCCTGACAACCAGTTCTTCTGCTGTAAGCACTAGATGATCCTGCCTCCATCTAGATTTTTTTTTCCCAAGAGAAAAAGATTCCAGATACCCCAGAGGCAAAAAATCTGGGATAAGAGTGAGAGGACCCTGGTCAAGCTCCATCATTTCATGGGCAATCCTGATCTTCTATATTTTGCAGTTTATCCTATTGTCTCAGACTGAGGGAGAGATCAGGATTCAGAAAAGACCCTCTCTGAGCAGGAAAAATGGATTCTCCTCTGACCCCACTGCTCATAGGAGAGGACATTCTCTCCAGAACACAGCTGGGGTCCAATGGTAGAGCAGCTGGTGGAAACCCTGGATGGCATGAACATAGGGAGAGAAGCCCCTTATGTTCTCCATTCTAACAGGCATTTTCCTCAGCAGCCACTAGAATCAGCTGGCCAAATCAGAGAGGAGATCGATGCACTCTGAGCCCAACATGCTGTATCATGGTGATTTCATCTGATCCAGACAAGCACCCTGAAGGACTTGGTGCTAGGTCAAGTCCTATACTGAATGTTTGGCTCACGAGCAGGGGGACTCTGGTCGTGGTACTGCTGAGCACCTCTTGTAAGGTGTTGAGCACCCTTGACTCCCATTGATTTTAGTGGGAGCCAAAGGCTCCGAGAACCTCCCAGGAGCAGGCCCTCTGACAATGACCTCCTCATGCCATAATGCTCACAGAGACCCTTTAACTAACTCAATGAAACTTACATCATCCTGACAGCTCAGCGGACACAGGCCATCCACGCCACTGCACTGGAAAGGAACAGAAGAAGTTAAATGATGACAGTGTCGTATCTCATTGTCCTTCCCCTTGAGGCTATCGGACAAAGGGTCTACATCTTACAGCTGGGTACAGGTCAACGAGTTAGTTACCATTTTGAAATAGACTGTCTACGCAGCACACACTTAACGCCTGCCAAGGAGGCCAGTAATGGTTCTGCCCTCTACCCACAATCTAAGTCCTCAAAATAACGAGTATTGTCTCCACTGAATATTACATGTGAGCCTGGTTCTGCCTTCCTTATCCACTTTGAGCAGGACCTTGCTCTTTGAATAGGGACTGCTCATAGAGCAAGGCACTACTCACGGCTTGTCTACACTGTCAGTACCTGGCAAGCTGGGATAGAAATCTACAGCAATCTAGCTTGCTGGGCACTAACTGGCTGTCTGCTTCCACATGCTACAAGTACATCACAGTGGACTAAGGCAACTTCTAATGTGCTTTAGTGGGGCTCACCAGGGCAGTTAACGTGCAGCAGGCTAGAGCGCTGTATGTTCACAGCCTAGCTTGCCACGCACTGGCTGGATAGCAAGCCCTCAGTGCAAGTGGCAGAATCAAACCCTCTAGTATTAATAACAAAAATTATTATACAGTTGAGAGAAAACAGAGTGCATTTTCATATTTCATAACATCTTGACCAAATAAAGGCATTACATTTTAGGGATGCATTATTCTCAGGCAGTGGGTTTTTCCAGACAACTAATGACACAATAGAATGTGAATGTGCTCGGATAGCCTCAGGCATCATCCATTTGCTTCATTCAAGGATCTACAGATACCAGAGTTGACATGTGTGTCACACCACTGAACTGGATAGGGACAGGAGGAGTTAAACAGTGAGTAACAAAAGCCTTCAAGTGATTATTCATTTCATAACTATTCCGTGTTTGTGTCTGTCTCTTTGTGTTATTTTTTAATGTTATTTTCCTTGGGCGCAAGGGAGGGAAAGTTGACACAGTGTTGCCAAGTTCTCGCCAGAGGGTGGGGGGGGTCCCCTTCTATGGCTTTCCTGAGGTTTGGGAAGAATAATGACAAAGATGACAGGCCTTGCCTACTCTGGATCAGCTGCTGATTATTTTAAAACTGCAATAAATTTTATAAAATAACCCCCTCTCCGCCTGCCCTTCCTGGCTGTTTCTGAACAGCTACAGGTAAATAGGCCTCTCAAACCACAGCAAAACTATTAATCGCAGCTAGTGTTTCTCATCTCAAGATCTGCAGCACAGAGTTGCTATTTCCATGGAGCCATCCTGGGTCCTGTAAGTGTATTTCAAAGGATGATTAAAGAATTTTCAGTTTGCTTCAGGCTCCATGGGTTTGTGCCGTTGCATCTTCATGCCACAGCTACATCAGCTCTTCACATCTTGATAATGGTTTAATAGGCAATGACATTACCTGGTCCATTGTTATGATGTGAAGGTGTAAATGTTGCCTTGTCACAATGGGATTATTTCATCCCTGCATGACACACACAAAAAAGTGGCAGCCCTTGACATCACTCTGGATTTTCTCTGGTTTGTGCGGCTGAGAAATATGGCCATAACAAACCCAAGAGTATTACCCATAGGGATGAAGATTAACAAACCAAAGTGAAGACAACTGAGTTAAGCCGAGGGATAGTTTGGGCTCATTGTATCTTTTAGCTCAGGGGTTGAAGTGATCTCTCAGAACTACAGTTCCACCATTGCCCAGCAATGGAATTTCATTATACTGTAACAAGACTTCAGGAGTGAGAGAGTTTGTGTAAATGAGATATGGTACAAGCTGCAAATATCTGGATCCAGATTTCAGACACTTCCGAAGTTAAGGCTGTTCAGATCTGAGGTTTAGTTCAGCCTAAAATAAAGTCAGGGGCCACTTACAAAATTCAAGTCCAGATCCATGTTCAGATTTCAAGCCCCTCCTGCAAAGTAAAGGTCCTGGGTGTTGGTTTGATCCTAGCTCTAGTTTAAATCTATTTATAACGTTATTGTGCCTGTTGATGAGGGCAGCAGGGAAAAGTTTACTAATAATGTACAGATGGAAAAGTGGATAGTCTTCCAAGGCGAAGTTTGAATGTATCAATTAGGATTGTACCATCCAGTCAGTGGCCAGTTGGGGACTGGCCCAGAGAAGAGTGATGCAGCAGAATCTGACCAAATCCAAGAGTTCAGGTGAGAATCCCCAATAAACCCAGAAGAATTATTTTCATCATGAAAGGCCACAACACCCATTCCCAATTCATGTGTTCCCATCTACATGCTTACATTACAGCACCCCTGTTAGCAGCATGTGGACAGATTCTCATCTCAGCATAGGTGTGAATCTGGAAGAACTCTCTTAAAGCCTTTGGAATTACTCTGGGTTTGCAGCAGTGGGAATGAGATTAGAATCACCCTTGTTCATTCTGCTCGAAAAAGAGCAGGAAATTTACATGAGAAAACCACAGGGATGGGGATAGTTGAATTTGTGCTCCCCATTTATTTTGGGACTGCCTCTTCAAACGTTTCTGCATCACTACTCCTTCCCAAGGGGCCAATCCACATCAGGCTCTGTGGTTTCTTGGGTGGGTCTCTGAATCACTGCAACCCAGTCTACTTTAAGCTTTACCAAAGTCACGTATCAGAGTAGCAGCCATGTTAGTCTGTATCCGCAAAAAGAAAAGGAGGACTTGTGGCACCTTAGAGACTAACAAATTTATTTGAGCATAAGCTTTCGTGAGCTACAGCTCACTTCATCGGATGCATGCGGTAGAAAAACTGCATGCATCTGATGAAGTGAGCTGTAGCTCACGAAAGCTTATGCTCAAATGAATTTGTCAGTCTCTAAGGTGCCACAAGTCCTCCTTTTCTTTTTTCAAAGACACTTAGTTACTGCAAAGAAAAACACAAGATAAGTGAGCTTGGACTGTCTCCAGCTACTAGAGGCAAGGGACAGCGTATATCCTACAATGACATAAAATACACGTGACAAACAAAGCATCATACAACACAGGGCAGGGACACAGCGGGGAACTCTGGGAGATCTTTCTGTACTGAGCTCCTGTCTACTTACGTCAGTGTCATTGGGCTGGGTTGGAGTGTGGGTATGTGGAGCAGTACAGTATGCAGAAGAGATATGGAGAGAAAAAACAAACCGTTCATTAGTGACTCCTTCTTGAACCGCTACCTAGTGCCTGTAAGTCGGGCAAACTCTTCTTTCACATGAGTGAGTGTCAGAAACAGGGCTTCATTCCTGATCCAGGAACCACCCTTCAGCTTCTTCATTCTCTCTTTCCAGGCTCATTTCACCCCAGGAATTAACGTATATTAATATGTGTTTACTTCCTTGGGCCATGTCCCCCAGAAGGTTCTTGTACAACCTCCTTTCAATAACCCTCCTTGATAAACCTCCAAGGAGCTCCTATTCCCTCTGTGGGGAATCTCCTTATTGCCAGGTATCCTGTTAGACATACAACCAGGGCACCTCAGTCTCCAGCCTGCCAAGAGCCCTCCCTGTGCCACCAATGGCAATAAAAATCCTTTCCCATTCCCCTCGGGTTCTCCAGTCATGGAGACAAGTTTCCTGAGCTCAAACCAGAATAATTCTAACCTGGTAACCGTTTCCTATGCGAGCACCAGGCAGACATTTCATTCTTTGCTTCGTCAGTCCGATGAGACTCCTCCCAACAATGTGCTGCTCATATTCCCTGATATTTTGAGAGTGCCCCTTGCTGGTAACAAAAGGCATTTCCATTCTCCTCCTTTATCATACCCAGGAAATGCTCTAGTTATCCCAGTTCTCTCAATCTGATGAGAGTGTCTGAACTAGCTCAACATCGCAAATTTCTCCTGGCCTGCTAGCCTGGAGCAAGTCTTTTTATTTATTTATTTTATTTTTTATTTTGACAGGCTAGTAGGACCTCATCATCATCAACATCAGCATTGCTGAGATCAGGATAGCAAAGGGGAGGGCAGGGAGATTTTGTGTCCCAAATTACAGCTTTCTATGATGGGTCCGAAAGCCTGAATGAGTGCAAACCTATTTCCACAATGCATGTGTCAGCTGCAGCAGAGTTAATGCCAGGCCAGTTAACGCAGCGTTCCTATATCAGACGTGCAGCTCATGCAGCATTTGAGCCATCAAAGGATTAGAGAAAAGCATAATTTAAAACTAATCTACCACATAAATCTGTTTCATACAAATTTCACAAAAGCCTTCATGGACATGCCACCAGAAATCAAAGTGCATAGCATGGGACAAGCAAAAGGAAGGTGGTGAAATCGTGTCTCCACAGAATTACTGCCATTCCTACCTGCCGTGTAGCCATCCAGAACTTGTGTTGGAGTAATTCCAGCTTAATTTGCACGCCCACAGCTACGGGGAAATAAAAGCGGGGAGGAAGGGCAGGGGGGTGAGAGAAAAATTGCTGCACGTTAGGAAAGAAAAAAAATATTTGCATGAAACAACAGGACGAAATTGCACTCGCAGCCTGATTCCAAGTGTAAATGACTAACTGAAAGGTAAGCACTGAGTCAGACAGTCAAGTGAGAGTCAGAGGTTTAACAGGGTGGGAGAAAAGGAGGTGTCAATTGCTGTATTGAAATATTGACACCTTCCTCCCACTAAACACTACAGAGCTACAAACAGATAAAAAAAGGCTTTTATCTTGGGCTGTCAGGTATTTTCAGGCCAGGGTGGGCTGTTATGATCATCTAGGCTGATCTCTTGCGTATAACACACTTTGACTCAGAAAAGTAGGCTAGTGTTAGGAGTGTGTTTCAAGCCCCCACCTCCAGGGAGACTGCAACCTGAATGCAGCAATAAAGAATACATCTACACTGCAATTTAAGGCATAACTGTAGGGAAGATGTGGCAGCATGGATTTCAGCATGGGCTAGCAACCCAAGAATGTACCCAGGCTCCCCAGTGGGCTTGTACTGGGGCGGCTAACCTGCGCTGAAGCCTGTGCTGCTGTGTCTTCAGTGCTATTGTTACCCATGCTAGCTGGATTAAATCGTTTACAATTACACTCTAATTTGTGGTGTAGATGTGCCCATAGGCCATTCTTGATCAACAATAACAGTTGCAAAGTACACAGAAATATAATACCTGTCAGTAGAAAAGGGGAGATTTTAACTCATTGGCTGCTCTTCATAAGAATCACAGACTTTGTCAGAAGGGACCATTATGATTGTCTAGCCTGACTTGCTGCACAACGCAGGCCGCAGAATCTCACCCATCCACTCCTGTAACAAACCTCTCACCTATGTCTGAGCTATTGAAGTCCTCAAATCGTGGTTTAAATACTTCAAGATGCAGAGAATCCTCCAGCAAGTGACCTGTGCCCCACGCTGCAGAGGAAGGCGAAAACTCCACAGGGCCTCTGCCAATCTGACCTGGAGGAAGATTCCTTCCCGACCCCAAATATGGCGATCAGCTAAACCCTGAGCATGTGTGCAAGACTCACCAGCCAGACACACAGGAAAGAATTCTCTATAGTAACAGATCCCACCCTCATCTAACATCCCATCACAGGCCATTGGGCATATTTACCGCTAATAGTCAAAGATCAATGAATTGCCAAAATTAGGCTATCCCATCATACCATCCCCTTCATAAACTTATCAAGCTTAATCTTGAAGCCAGATATGTCTTTTGCCCCCACTGCTCCCCTTGGAAGACTGTTCCAGAACTTCACACCTCTGATGGTTAGAAACCTTCATTTAATTTCAAGTCTAAACTTCCTGATGGCCAGTTTATGTCCATTTGTTCTTGTGTACACACTGGTACTGAGATTAAATAATTCCTCTCCCTCCCTGGTATTTATCCTTCTGATATATTTATAGAGAGCAATCCTATCTCCCCTCAGCTTTCTTTTGGTTAGGCTAAACAAGCCAAGCTCATAAGACAGGTTTTCCATTCCTTGGATCATCCTAGTAGCCCTTCTCTGTACCTGTTCCAGTTTGAATTCATCCTTCTTAAACATGGGAGACCAGAACTGCACACAATATTCCAGATAAGATCTCAACAGTGCCTTGTATAACGGTACTAACACCTCCTTATCTCTACTGGAAATAACTCGCCTGATGCATCCCAAGACCGCATTAGCTTTTTTCACGGCCATATCACATTGGCGGCTCATAGTCATCCTGTCATCAACCAATATTCCGAAGTCCTTCTCCTCCTCTGTTACTTCCAACTGATGCGTCCCCAGCTTCTTGTTATTAATCTCTAAATGCATGACCTTGCACTTTTCACTATTAAATTTCATCCTATTACTCCAGTTTACAAGGTCATCCAGATCTTCCTGTATGATATCCTGGTCCTTCTCTGTATTGGCAATACCTCCCAGACTTGTGTCATCCGTAAACTTTATTAGCACATTCCCACTTTTTATGCCAAGGTCAGTAATAAAAAGATTAAATGAGATTGGTCCCAAAACCGATCCCTGAGGAACTCCACTAGTAACCTCCCTTCAGCCTGACAGTTCACCTTTCAATATGACCCGTTGTAGTCTCCCCTTTAACCAGTTCCTTATCCACCTTTCATTTTTCATATTGCTTCCCATCTTTTCCATTTAGCTAATATTTCCCCATGTGGAACCGTATCAAATGCTTTACTGAAAACGAGGTAAATTAGATCCACTGCATTTTCTTTGTCTAAAAAATCTATTACCTTCTCAAAGAAGGAGATCAGATTGGTTTGGCACAATTTAACTTTTGTAAAACCATGTTATATTTTGTCCCAATTACCATTGACCTCAATGTCCTTAACTACTTTCTCCTTCAAAATTTTTTCCAAGACCTTGCATACTACAGATGTCAAACTAACAGGCCTGTAGTTACCTGGATCACCTTTTTCCCCTTCTTAAAAATAGGAACTATATTAGCAATTCTCCAGTCATACGGTACAACCCCTGAGTTTACAGATTCATTAAAAATTCTTGCTAATGGGCTTGCAATTTTGTGTGCCAGTTCCTTTAATGTTCTTGGATGAAGATTATCTAGACCCCCCCAGATTTAGTCCCATTAAGCTGTTCGAGTTTGGCTTCTATCTTGGATGTGGTAATATCTACCTCCATATCCTCATTCCCATTTGTCATCCTACCCTTATCCGTAAGTTCCTCATTAGCCTCATTAAAACTGAGGCAAAGTATTTCTTTAGATATTGGGCCATGCCTAGATTATCCTTAACCTCCACTCCATCCTCAGTGTTTAGCTGTCCCACTTCTTTTTTTGTTTTCTTCTTATTTATGTTTCTATAGAACCTTTTACTCTTGGTTTTAATTTTAATAATGCAAGGTCCAACTCTACATGGCTTTTGGCCTTTCCCACTTTATCCCTACATGTTCTGACCTCAATAATGTAGCTTTCCTTGCTGATCCCTCTCATCTTCCACTACTTGTAGGCTTTCTTCTTTTTCTTAATCACCTCTCTGAGATGCTTGCTCATCCAGCTTGGTCTACAACTCCTGCCTATGAATTTTTTCCCCTTTCTTGGGATGCAAGCTTCTGATAGTTTCTGCAACTTTGACTTGAAGTAATTCCAGGCCTCCTCTGCCTTTAGAGCCACAAGTTCTTCAGTCCAATCCACTTCCCTAACTAATTTCCTTAATTTTTTTAAGTTAGCCCTTTTGAAATCAAAAACCCTAGTCACAGATCTATTTTTGTTTATCCTTCCATTTAGTTTGAATTGAATTAGCTCATGATCACTCAAACCAAGGTTGTCCCCTACAACCATTTCTTCTGAGGTCCTCACTACTCACCAAAACCAAATCTAAAATGGCATCCTCTCTTGTCAGTTCAGCAACTACTTGGTGAAGGAATCCATCAGCTATCGCATCCAGGAAAATCTGAGCCCTATTATTATTACTAGCACTTGTCCTCCAGTCTGTATCTGGGAAGTTAAAGTCTCCCATGATCACACAATTCCCATTAGTATTTACTTCATTAAAAACATTAAAGAGGTCTCCATCCATATCCAAATTGGATCCCGGCGGTCTATAGCACAGCCCAAGCACTATCCCAGGGCAGGCTCTAGTAGCTTTCTTCCCCAATGTGATTTTTGCCCAGACAGACTCTGTCTTATCCATTCCATCACTTCTTATTTTGTTACATTCTACCTCATCATTGATATACAATGCTACTCCACCACCTTTGCCTTTATTTCTGTCTTTCCTAAACAGAACATACCCTTCAATACCTATTCTCCAGCCATGACTACTATTCCACCATGTTTCTATTATCCCTATAATATCTGGTTTCACTTCCTGCACCACTAGCTCTAGTTCCTCCATTTTGTTACCTAGGCTGCTTGCATTAGTGTACAAACATCTTAATTTTTGCTGTTTTGGCTTCGCTCACATTCTTTACCCGATTAGAAACAGACATTCTACTGCCAGTATCACCTATTAGACTGGTATCTACACTATCTTTTCTCATGTCCATTCTTCTACCCACGGCTGTATCCTTTCTTACTTCGTTTTCTTCCCTCTCAATGTTAAAATCCAGCGTGGAGATTACCTGGACATCTCCCAACCATCTCCCCCAAATTCTTAGTTTAAATTTCTCTTAATCTGTTGTGTCTGCCTCCATCCTAGAAGACTATTTCCCTCCCTACTCAGGTGAAGTCCATCCCGAGAGGACCGTCCTCTGTCCATGAATGCTTCCCAGTGGCCACACATCCCAAAGCCCTCCTTATAGCACCACTGCCTGAGCCATCTGTTGATCATCATCATCTTGTCACACTGCTGTTGCCCTTCTCTAGGAACAGGCAGAATCCCACTGAAGATCACCTGAGCCTCGATTTCCTTAAGCGTCTTCCCCAGCCTGGCATAGTCTCCCTTGATACGTTACAGCGAGAATCTAGCCGTATCCTTTGTTCCCACATGAAGGACAATCAGTGGATTCTTTTCCGCTCCTGTTAAGATCCTCTTCAGCCTCAGGTCCACATCCCGTATCTTAGCACCTGGCAGACAGCACACTTTTCTGTTCTCTGGATCAGCTCTGGTTACAGGCCTGTCTATTCTCAGTAAGGAGTCCCCAATCATGTAGTCTTGCCTTTTTCTGGTGATGGTGAGATTCTCCAGTCTATCCCGTTCCCTCTGGCTGCAAGTCCTTTTGATTCCTTGCAATCCTCTGCAACCCATCCAGTATCCTCCTGGGGCTCCTATTTGGTGTTAGCTCCATTGACTCTTCCTCTCTTCCTATAGGACTAGCTGCTCTTCTCGTCTTCCTTGCCCTCTCACCTTCAGTGACCACCTGTTGTGCCCCTTCTTCATTTTCCAACTCCGCAAACCGCTTCTGAGCTCTATTTCTCCTTCTCTAGCCTGTCTTTTCCTCTCCCTGGTTCTCTTCGTCACATGCTTCCACTGAC